CACCCCGAAAATGCCCAACGTAACTTCTGAAACCCATAAAAAATGATGATTTGGCTGCTTTTTCTTCTTGCTGCTGCTATGAATTTTGGCTGGCTTTTCCTCCTGCTGCTGCAGACGCTTTTGCTGCTGCTGCTGCTGGTCCCCGGATGGGAAAACACCATGGCAGTGAAGGACGGAGAAGCCCCAGAATTGCACCCCGAAAATGCCTAACGTAACTTCTGAAACCCATAGAAAATTGTGATTTTGGCTGCTTTTTCCTCTTGCTGCTGCTGGTCCCCAGATGGGAAAACACCATTGCGGTGAAGGACGGAGAAGCTCCAAAATTGCACCCCGAAAATGCCTAACGTAACTTCTGAAACCCATAGAAAATGATGATTTTGGCTGCTTTTTCTTCTTGCTGCTGCTATTGTTGTTGTTATTGTTGTTGTTGTTGTTGGCCGCTCTGCTACTGCTACTTGTGAGCCGCCTTACCACCAAAAGCACCTGCCGACAGCAAAACACCATGCCACTGAAGGACGAACAAGTCCCAGAATTGCACGGAAAGATGCCTAACGTTACTTCTGAAACCGTAGAAAAAACTATTGTCTTCGGAGGTTTTACTGCTACTGCTGGCTGCTACTGCCACTTGCTACTTGCTACCTTTGCACCAAACGCAGCTGCCGACAACAGGATGCCCTCCCTCCTACTCCTACTTGTGAACCGCACCAGCAACAAAAGCACCTGCCGACAGCAAAACACCCTGCCACTGAAGGACGAACTAGCGCCAGAATCACCACCAAAAGCACCTGCCGACAGCAAAACACCATGCCACTGTCTTCGGAGGTTTTACTGCTACTGCTGGCTGCTACTGCCACTTGCTACCTGCTACTTATGACCAAACGCAGCTGCCGACAACAGGATGCCCTACCTCCTACTCCTACTTGTGAACCGCACCAGGAACAAAAGCACCTGCCGACAGCAAAACACCCTGCCACTGAAGGACGAACTAGCGCCAGAATCACCACCAAAAGCACCTGCCGACAGCAAAACACCATGCCACTGAAGGACGAACAAGTCCCAGGATTCCACGGAAAGATGCCTAACGTTACTTCTGAAACCCTACTAAAATTGAGAGTTGCTACCTGCTACTTGTGCACCAAACGCAGCAGAACACAAGCACCAAAAGCAGCTGGCCGCTCTGCTACTGCTACTTGTGAGCCGCCTTACCACCAAAAGCACCTGCCGACAGCAAAACACCATGCCACTGAAGGACGAAACAAGTCCCAGATTGCACGGAAAAAAAAGATGCCTACGTTATTCTGAAACCGGAGGAAAAAACTATGTCCTTCGGAGGTTTTACTGCTACTGCTGGCTGCTGAAACTACCACACTTCTACCTGCTATTTGTGCACCAGCTGCCGACAACAGCTACCTACCTCCTACCTCCTCTTGTGGACCGCACCGGCACCAAAAGCACCTGCCGACAGCTGGCCGCTCTGGCTACTGCTACTGTGAGTCCGCCTTACCCCAAAAACCCAATACTACCCACCAAAGCACCTGCCGACATCAAACGCCCATGCCACTGAGCCGGGGGGACCAAGTCCCATAATTGCACGGAAGATCCTAACGTTACTCTGAAACCTAGAAAAAAACTATTGTCTTCGGATGTTTTCAACTGCTACTGCTGGCTGCTACTACCACTTGCTACCTGCTATTGTGCACCAGCTGCCGACAACAAGCTACCCTACCTCCTACTCCTACTTGTGGACCGCACCAGCAACAAAACCACCTGCCGACAGCTGGCCGCTCTGCTACTGCTACTTGTGAGCCGCCTTACCACCAAAAGCACCTGCCGACAGCAAAACACCATGCCACTGAAGGAGGAACAAGTCCCAGAATTGCACGGAAAGATGCCTAATGTTACTTCTGAAACCGTAGAAAAAAATATTGTCTTCGGAGGTTAACACCATGGCAGTGAAGGACGGATCTGCCCTGACGCGCTCCCCCTTGCGTTGGCCGGGGTCGGCGGATTCCCTAGCGCGCTCCCCCTTGCGTCTGCCGGGGTCGGCGGATAAGGATCCTTATAAGGGCACATCAGGACAGATCAAGTGCTTCATCCCATGATTTCGGTTGATATGTTTCGAACATGCAAGCATCAGGTAGTAGTAGTAGTAGTAGTAGTAGTAGCAGTAGTAGCAGTAGCAGTAGCAGTAGTAGTAGCAGTAGTAGTAGCAGTAGCAGTAGCAGTAGCAGTAGCAGTAGCAGTAGCAGTAGCAGTAGCAGTAGCAGTAGCAGTAGTAGTAGTAGTAGTAGCAATAGTAATAGTAATAGTAATAGTAATAGTAATAGTAATAGTAGTCGTAATAGTAATAGCAGTGCAGTACCTCTTCTTCCCTTACGCGCTCCCCCTTGCGTCGGCCGGGGTCGGCGGATATTAAGCCTCTATATATATATATAATTATATATATATATCTCTCTCTCTCTGTCTCTCTCTGCTATCCCGCTATCCCTCAGTTATTTTTTAGTGCCAAATTGTTACCAGTAGTACCGCACAAGGCGGTGGCGGAAGTTTCAAAAATTGGAAACCTAGGTTGGTTGTTGTGACTCAGGGATGGCAGAGCGAAGCCACTGATGGACCGAAAGGTGGCTGGAGGTGTGGTTTTTGGAGCGGTTGCAATGGTTGCAGTGGTCACCTCACCACAACTGCTGGATGTAGTGTGGTGTAGTGCAGTTGTAGTTGTAGTTGTAGTTGTAGTGGAGTTGTAGTTGTAAGTTGTAGTTGTAATGTAGTGTAATACGTGTAGCGCAGTTGCAGTTGTAGTTGTGGTGTGGTGAAATTAGTGTAGTGTATTGTAGTGTACTGTAGTGTTGTGTACTGTAGCGTGGTATAGTGTAGTGTAGTCTGGTGTATTGAAGTGTAAAGTAGCGTAGTGGTAGCTGTAGTGAAGTGTAATGTAGCGCAATGTAGTGGTAGTTGTCATTGTAGTTGCAGTTGTAGTTGTAGTGTAATGTAATGCAATGGGTGTAGTGTCGTGTAATGTAGTGGAGTTGTATTTGTATTTGTAGCTGCTGTGTACTGCAGTTTAATTAGTCTAATGTAGTGCAGCTGTAATTATAGTTGTGGTGGTGGTGGTAGTGGTGGTGGTGGTGGTCGCAGTCGCAGTCGCAGTCGCAGTCGCAGTCACAGTCGCAGTCGCAGTCGCAGTCGCAGTCGCAGTCGCAGTAGCAGTAGCAGTAGCTGTAGCTGTAGCTGTAGCTGTTGCTGTTGCTGTTGCTGTTGCTGTTCCTGTTCCTGTTCCTGTTGTTGTTGTTGTTGTTGCTGTTGCTGTTGCTGTTGCTGTTGCTGTTGTGGTTGTGGTTGTGGTTGTGCAGTGTAGTGTAGTGTAAGTAGATGTAATCAGTGTAGTGTAGCGTAGTATATTTGTAGTTGTAGTGTAGTGTAGTGTAGTGGTAGCTGTAGTTGTGAAAACGAAGCTATTCTGCGAGACTTCCTCAGTTTTTGCAGTTGACAGCATCAAAAACGAAGCAATCCTGCGAGACTTCCGCAATTTTTGAAGTTGGCAAAATCAAAAACGAAGCAATTCTGTGAGACTTGCTTCAATAATGGAAAGTTGAGTGCAGAGCTGACAGCCTGGTACCAATGCGTTTTGCCTTTTTTCCGGCCCATGTCTCTAAAGTATTGCGCCTGCCACAAAAAAGTGAATCCAGGTCATACGAAGTGCTGCACCTGTCACGCAAAATCATCTTAGCAAACTTGAAGATCTCATGCTCCAAAATGCAACCCCCTCTCAGGAAATCTCCGCCCTGATCTCCTAACACATCTAACTCATGTGTCTCTTGTACTGCGCCTGCCACGCGAAATGCATCTTTGCAGATCCTCTGCAAATGTCCCACGCCTGCCATCGTTTTTGGAAATGCTACAAAACCCTCACGTTTTGCTTACTTTCGGCAACGTGCAGAATCCCATGCGCCTGCCACGCAAAACCACATCTGAACCTTCAAAAGTGGCCCGACCATGTTGTGCTTCTAACATTTTGACTTGGAAATGTGCTTCGCGCCACAGCGGCGTCCACTTTTTCGACATCTCAACTTCCAAAAGTGCTCCGAAGCTGCGATGTGCTTGCACCTTTTCAACATCTCAACTTCCAAAGGTGCTCCGGGGCTGCAGTGTTTTGTACATGTTGACTTCAAAATGTGCTTCGCGCTACAACGGCGTGCGCTTTTTCAACATCTCCACTTCCAAACCCGTAAGTTTTTTACACTTTTGACTTCGAAATGTGCTTCGCGCCACAACGGCGTGCACTTTTTTGACATGTCAACTTCCAAAAGTGGTCTGAGAATGGTGTGCTTTGCACATTTTGACTTCAAAATGTGCTTCGCGCCACAACGGCGTGCAATTTTTAAAAATCTCAACTTCCAAAAGTGTTCCGAACCCGTGAGATTTTCACATTTTGACTTCGACCTCCGGACCCACAAATTTCAAATCATTGGAAAAACACAAGGTGTTTCGCGACTTTCCTACCTTTTCACGCACCTGGATCTTCTTTCTTCTGATTGTCTCTTCTTTGATCTTCTTTCTGCTTCTCTTCTCTTCTCTGGATCTTCCCATCTCTGCTTTTCATCTGTCCATGCTGTCGGAAGTTTGACTTCTAAACTTCCTTCCATTAATATATATATATATATGGTACCCCCTCTCGAAACTACTGCCAAACTCCAACCATGTACATCAGTCAGCAAACCACGTGAATACCAATAAAAATAATTAAAAGGTGGGTACTGGGGGGTACCCCATTCAATATATATATATATTTTATATTTATATATATTTATATTTATATTTATAGTTATATACCACTAGTATTCCCGATCCTCACACGGGTGGCCAGAAATTGCCATGACAAGAACAATACACCATTCCCTCTTTCCATTTTTTTAAAGCTATGGGAAAGCACCACTTCCAAACTTGTTATCGGATCGCCTTCCTCCTGGTTGTTGATCACCGTATGGCAGTAATTAAGTTACATGACATGGGCCGAGTCCAAGGTCAGCATCTTATGTTCAATTCAATTTCTGCATGCAGCAGGATGGGGTCAGTAGATGTTCCGGCGTGTTGGGGTTCGATTTCAGATGGTTTCGGCCATCCAAAACACGGCTGATCATGGTATGTAGCCCGCAGCGGTTGAGAGTGACCCCACGCCCATGACATCAATGACTTGCATAGCAATGTTGAGGAGATCAGGATCTTCCGGGAAACTGTTCCACGAATGAAGAGGGCCGGAAGACGGGAGGCAATGCCTTCATCCAGTATCCTGCTCAGCATCCAGCCATTCCAAGTTGCTGGTTTTATTTTTCTGTTGTTGAAGTGTGGTTCAAGATGGGAGTCAGCGAGAAAGATAAATTTGTCAGAGTTGCCAAACCAGAAAAATCGGAACCTCAGTGCAAACAGTTTGGTCGGGCAACGCCTCCAGAATCTGATCCATTTCATCCAGTATCTGGGCCTCACACCTGTATTTGCCAGAAGTTGCGCAGCAAGTGTTCAAGGATGTTAGGTTCCCCTGGGAAATGGAGTTTCTCTAAATTGTCGGCAGTGTTTTTTCCTACCTTGCAGGTATCGTTCGAAATCCATGCTGAGTAATGACTTTGAAGCTTGGCTTTGCCATAAATCAGGGTTGGCAGTGCTCATATCATCTCTCATCAGCTCTCTTCTCAGCCTGACATGCCGGAGTCTTAACATGTTCAATGTGGAAAATGATTTCAGAAACGATGAGAAATCAATAAACCGTCAGGTTTTTGAGGTCTTGGGGGAATTTCGTCTGTAGGCAAACTGCACAACAAAATCTCCCAAGGAAGTGCCCGTCTCCTGGGTCTCTGGGCCTTTCGGCACATGCATTCGTGCTTGTCCTGGTTCGAGGCAGGGATTTCCTGGATGGCAGTTTTAGTTGATTTTGGTGAAGTGCAAAATGGGTCCAAAAGTTGTTGGGAAAGCCCAGATATGATGGTTGCGAATATCATATTCCCCATTTGACTGGCATGTTTGGGGTATATAGATATGCATGATAGACGATTAATCAATCAAAGTGGATATAGTCGCAAATGGCACTGGAACCAGTTTGCCACCATCAATGCCAAACAAGGAAAAAGACAAGCAAGAAAACACACCGCATCAATGCCGAGATCCAAGTTGTTAATCGTTTCTTTGTGCACATTTTTTGACGTTTCCCGTTGTTTCCTCTTCTTCTTCCTCTTCTTCCTCTTCGTCCCCTTCTTCCCCTTCTTACCCTTCTTCCTCTTCTTCCTCTTCTTCCTCTTCTTCCTTTTCTTCCTTTCTTCCTCTTCTTCCTCTTCCTCCTCTTCCTCCTCTTCTTCCTCTTCTTCTTCCTCCTCTTCTTCCTCTTTTTCCTCTTCTTCCTCTTCTTCCTTTTCTTGCTCTTCTTACTCTTCTTCCTCTGCCTCCTCTTCCTCGTCTTCCTCGTCTTTCTCCTCTTCCTCCTCTTCCTCCTCTTCCTCCTCTTCCTCCTCTTCCTCCTCTTCCTCCTCTTCCTCTTCTTCCGCCTCTTCCCCTTCTGAACTTCTGTTTCTTCATGATACTTTAGTTTTTTGTTTTTCTTACTTGTTTTTTGTTGTTTCTGTATATTTATATGTGTTTCTTTGTTTTCCTCTGTCTCTTCATTTTCTTCAGTTTCTTTTTCCCCACCTGCCAGGTGAGGGTTGTTAGATTTTATCAGAGCTGTTGTCCTCCTCCTTCTCCTCCTCCTCCTCCGCCTCCTCCTCCTCCAGTTTCTCCTCGACCATGTCTGCATCAACTTCCACCTCCACTTCCGCCTTGCCAACTCTTCGCCAAGCTCTTCGCCAACTTCCGAGCTCAGTGCGCACTGCTGGACCTCAACCTGGGACCTTCCCAGCTCAGTGCGCACTGCTGGACCTCAGCTCAGTGCGCACCGCTGGACCTCAACCTGGGACCTTCCTAGCTCAGTGCGCACCGCTGGACCTCAACCTGGGACCTGCCGAGCTCAGTGCGCACCGCTGGACCTCAACCTGGGGCCTTCCGAGCTCAGTGAGCACCACTGGACCTCAAAAGCCAGATAGAATGCCAGAAGATATGCCAGATAGAATGTCAGATAGAATGCGAGAAGATATGCCAGATAAAATGCCATAAGATTTGCCAGATAGAATGCCAGAAGATATGCCAGATAGAATGCCAGAAGGTATGCCAGATAAAGTGCAAGAATGTTTGCCAGATAGAATGCCAGAAGATTTGCCAGATAGAATGCCAGATAGGATGTCAGAAGATATGCCAGATAGAATGCCAGATAGAATGCCAGATAGAATGCCAGATAGAATGTCAGATAGAATGCCAGAAGATATGCCAGATAAAATGCCAGAAGATATGCCAGATAGAATGCCAAAAGATATGCCAGATAGAATGCCAGAAGATATGCCAGAGAGAGTGCCAGAAGGTATGCCAGATAAAGTGCCAGAATGTTTGCCAGATAGAATGCCAGAAGATTTGCCAGATAGAATGCCAGATAGGATGTCAGAAGATATGCCAGATAGAATGCCAAATAGAATGCCAGAAGATATGCCAGATAGAGTGCCAGATCGAAGCCAGAAGATATGTCAGATAGAATGCCAGAAGATATGCCAGATAGAATGTCAGAAGATTTGCCAGTAACAAAACGTATAAATGTCATGGTGGGGATCACACGAAGTAAAGTAATTACTCATTTTCCTTGTTTTTATTTTATTATTAGTACTCCTCCTTCTTCTTTCTCCTTCTGTTTTCTTTTTCCCCACATCGTTGTGTGGGGTTCTTGTTGTTGGTTGTGTACTTCCGCCCCGCCCGCCTCCCGCTTCCCGCCAGCCGCCCGCCCACAACTTACTCACGCACAATTTGTCCACACACAACTTGTCACCAGACAACTTACTCACACACAACTTACTCACACACAATTTGTATACACACAACTTACCACACAATTTGTCCACACACAACTTACACACAACTTGTCACCACACACCTTGCTCACAGAAAACTTGCTCACACACAACTGTCCACACGCAACTTGTCACCACACAACTTACGCAGACACACACAACTTACTCACACACAATTTGTATACACACAACTTACCACACAATTTGTCCACACACAACTTACACACAACTTGTCACCACACACCTCGCTGACACACAACTTGCTCACACACACTTGGCGACATCGACCTCCACTTTGCGTGGCAGGCGTGGCACTTATGGCACTGGACTGGCTTTGGTGGCGCGTTTGGTTCCCAGTTGACGCCGTTGTCGCCGCGGCTGTTGGCGTGAAAGGCGTGGCACTTGGCGACATCGCCTTTCACTTTGCGTGGCAGGCGTGGCACTTGGCGACATGGACCTGCACTTTGCGTGGCAGGCATGGCACTTGGTAACATGGACCTGCACTTTGCGTGGCAGGCGCGGCACTTATGGCACTGGACCGGCCTTTGTGGCGCACTTGGTTCCCAGTTCGCGCCGTTGTCGCCGTGGCTGTTGGCGTGGGAGGCGTGGCACTTGGCGAAATCGCCTTTCACTTTGCGAACGGGCGTGGCACTTATGGCACCGCGCTTGCTTCCCAGTTGACGCCGCAGCTGTGGCACTTGGCAACATCGCCCTTCACTTTGCGTGGCAGGCGTGGCACTTGGCGACATCGACCTCCACTTTGCATGGCAGGCGTGGCACTTATGGCACTGGACGGGCTTCGGTGGCGCACTTGGTTCGCAGTTGACGCCGTTGTCGCCGCGGCTGTTGGAGTGGCAGGCGTGGCACTTGGCGACATCGCCTTTCACTTTGTGTGGCAGGCGTGGCACTTGGCGACATCGACTTCCACTTTGCGTGGCAGGCGTGGCACTTACGCCGCCACGCCGTGGGTGCCGCGGCTGTTTGTGTAACAGGCGTGGCACTTGGCGACATCGACTGTCACTTTGCGTGGCAGGCGTGGCACTTATGGCACTGGGTTGGCGCTTGGTTCGCGTTTGGCGCCGTGGGCGCCGCGTCACTTTGCCTGGCAGGCGGGCACTTGGTGATATGGACCTGCACTTTGCGTGGCAGGCGTGGCACTTATGGCACATCTGGCACTGAGCTGGATCTGGTGGCGCGCTTGGTTCCCGTTTGGCGCCGTGGGCGCCGCAGCTGTTTGCGTGGCATGCGTGGCACTTGGGGACATCGACCTCCACTTTGCGTGGCAGGCGTGGCACTTGCCGACATGGACGTGCACTTTCCATGGCAGGCGTGGCACTTATGGCACTGGGTTGGCGCGCGGGGTTCCCGTTTGGCGCCGTGGGCACTGCGGCTGTTTGCAAGGCATGCGTGGCACTTGGCGACAGCGACCTTCACTTTGCGTGGCAGGCGTGGCAATTGGCGACATGGACGTGCACTTGCGTGGCAGGCGTGGCACTTGATGATATGGACGTGCACTTTGCGTGGCAGGCGTAGCACTTGTTGATATGGACGTGCACTTTGCGTGGCAGGCGTGGCACTTGGTGACATGGACGTGCACTTTGCGTGGCAGGTGTGATGCTTATAACGCCCCAGGTGCGCTGCGGCTGTTTGCGTGGCAGGCGCGTCACTTGTGGACATCGACCTCCACTTTGCGTGGCAGGCGTGGCACTTGCCGACATGGACGTGCACTTTGTGTGGCAGGTGTGGCGCTTATGGCACTCGGCTGCTTTGCGTGGTGACATCGACCTGGCACTTATCGGCACTGGGCTGGCTCTGGTGGCACGCTTGGGTCTGGCGGGGGCGGTTTGCGTGGCAGGCGTGGCGCTTGCTGACATCGACCTTCACTTTGCATGGCAGGTGTAGCAGAATCCTTTTCTCATCCCAGTTTCACCTTTCTTTGGCTACTTTCTGGAAGAATTTGGCTACTGAGGTGGCCGGCTGCCGCTGCTTGCATGTTTGCGTTTGTCGTGCCACTGCTTGATTCTTTTCTGCTTCGGCAGTTCATACACACACACATACACATGCACACATAGCACATGCATTTAGGTGGCCACACAACGCACACATACACACATGCATACACATACACACGCACTTTCATGCACGATTCTATCACACACACATACACCCCACTTTTACACACTATTGCATACACTCCTTTCACGCACCTCCCTTCGACATACATTTGTTGCACACGCCGACTCTCCACCATCTCTTTTCTCTTTCCTGCATTTCCCATCCCATCTTTACCTTTCTTTTGCTGCTAATTGGAAGAAGTTGACATGTGGGGTTATCCGGTCCTCTAATTTACTTTTCTTTGTTTTTGTTTTGGCCTTTTCTTTTGTTGTTTTTTTTGGTTTTTCTTGTTTGTATCATATTGTTCTTGGACGCAAAAATTTGTTGTCCTGTTATTGTGTTTTGGTTGATGTTTTGGTTGTGCCACTAGCTGTGGATTTCCGTGAGTGATTTGATTGGAACCGATACCACCTGACGGCAGTACGGGAACTTTGCAAACTGGATCATGTTTGAATTATTTGCGCAGGATAGGAATAGGCCCTTAGACATGTTCACTCATTTTCATTACACCAATGTTGTGCAAATAATCGCAACTGCGCTTGCAAACGTACGCTACATATAGGCATACATGCAGCCCAGTACACCACCATTTGTTCTTTGATGTCTTTGAATTTTCATGCCTGTGTTATTGCAGCAGGCGCGCATTCGGAAGAAATCCTGCCTTTCAGAAGCGTGAGGCAGTTGGGGCGATTCCCACAGAAGCTGGTGGCCATGGGTTATAACAAGGGAGAGGCACTGAGGTAAACAAATGCAAACATGATAGAAGGTGATTGAAAACACTCTGAAAAAATTGTTTTCTACAATGCTGTTCATCAAAAAGCAGTGCCCAGAAGAGAACATTCAACGAGGGAAGGAGGGAAGGACAAGAAGGGAGTTCCTTTTGTTCCCTCAAACGTAAGGTCCCAAACTAATACACACGTTTTCTCTGCAAACAATCACCCTGTTTGCTGCATAGCAGCGAACACACGCCCCAGGTGAAGTGCTACTCACTGAATGCTGAGCAGCTTGAGGATTTCAGATGTGAGCATTTGATGAAGCCTCAGAAGTACAGGCCGCTTGGTTCCGCTTGGCTGCGTTCGCGAGCATAGTCAGGGAGTTGGAGGAAGGAATACTGAGACGCAGCATGCCTACATAGTGGAAAACAAAATGTTCGAGATATTATGCCCAACGAGAATGAAGACTGCGCACGGGATCACATGTTGAACGTTGTTTTCGGCATCAGAGCGGCCACCAATCTTGCTAGTTTACCACACAGCGTTGCGAACCTTAGCGGTGCCACACTTTCTGCCTAGGCGTTGCCACTGTGGAGTCCTTTCGTGCCCCAAAGACTGCAACGACTGTGAAGATGACGAGCAGAGCGCAAAGCTCAGCAGAAAATCCCCTCGTTTTTGTTGCCAGTTTCCAACGACGGATGTCCCAGCAGCATCCAACGCATCTGGCTCTTTGGCGATGGATGGATGAACCAATGCAATCCTCTCCGCAAGATGGACCATTGTTGGATGTTGATTCCCGTTCCCCCTCAAACAATTGAGAGGGAATTAAAACGTCTTGCTTGGGGAGAAAAACAGGTTATGAATCTAAGTAAGGACTTGAAATCATCTGACTCTCTCAATTCATTTTCGGGCTCGTGAGCGCTTGGGGAGAAGATTTTCGAGGAGCAGACTTTCATGATATTGGATCATGTGTTTCTTTCTTCTATTCTCTCCATTTCTCTTCTTCGTTCTTCCTTCCTTTGCTTCCTTCTCTTTCCTGATTTCTTTCCTTTCTTCCTTTTTGTCTTTTCCTGTGCTATTTATATAAATATATTTGTTTGTGATTCTGCCATTCTTTCCTTCGTTTTTCATTCCTTCTTCGTCTTCTTCTTCGTCTTCTTCTTCTTCTCTTCTTCTTCTTCTTCTTCTTCTTCCTCTTTGGAAACCTTGGCATTCTTGGGAAAATATGGTACTATATGGTACTAGTAACAGAGCAAAAACAATACTAAGAGATTGCATCTTTTGGGATTCACAAAATCCTCTCTGAAACGTCTTTGATATTATTCAGTACCATCCCAACATTCCCAATATTCAGTATCCTTGGAAAATGTTTAGGTGTCGGTGTGTTTTCTTAAGTGTATTAATTAATCGAAATAGATCCTTTCGGAAAACGTGGCATTCTTCTGGAAAATAGGGTGCTACTCGTACGTAAGGTACAAAAAGCAGTAGCGAAGGCGCGGTGGCTGGTAGGATTCGAAAAAAAAACGCAGAAGGTTCGCTGAAAAAAAATCTGGGGGAAACGTTCCATGGTTAACTTCCATGGGCAGGATTCCCACAGAACTGAATTATGTTGAAGACACTTCCCAATTTCACCTCCATCCCGAAAATCAATGTATTACATTATACTAACCCCAAAAAAGATCGAACAGTAATTCATCACTATTGTTAGTAGGATTTATAGCTCTTCTATCTTTTTGGGGCTTGCTATGTATTGTTTGGATTTGTTTGGTACCTTTGTGATTTCTCAATGCTGTGCCATGAAGAGCAGGCCTTGGGCATGAAGAGCACCTGCATCTGAATGACACGAAGGATACGAATAATACAAAATCACATATGGATGTGTCTGAAAATGTGGAATTACCCCCCAATTGATGGCCATTTCATAGGGATGATTCACCAGTGGACGGAATGGAAAACCCTGTTTTCAAGCAAACCCCTTTGGTGTATTGTAACATGTGGTAACATATTGCAACTGCTAGCAGAAATCTCTCTTGCTTTAGCAGGGTATTGGGGGGCTGGAATCTCCAATCGCATAAAACTTCGACGCCCTCAGCATGTCGCCACCGGCAGCAAAATCGGCAGCATCCGCATCCTCAGCATCATTGGCGTCGTCAATAGCGCATACTTCAAGTCACTGGTGCAGCGTCGCTTTGAACCCTCACATGTAGTTTCCAGTCAGTTCTCACCATGGCAAGCTTGTCTTGGACACAATATTCCTTCATAGAGACAGATGAGTTTGCAAAGATCCTTCCGGAGCAATTGCACTGGCTTGCTTCCGCTTTTTGTCCTCATGACATCCTACCTAGCCGCGCTTCCAACATCTTCTCTTGTAACTGCTAAGCCTTGAAAGGTCCACTCCGATGCTGAAGGTGGACCCTTGACCCTTGAATCTTCTTACTGTTTAGTGCCCTCCACACTACTGAGGGGGAGTTTCCTCATTATGTTCACGCGCGTGATATATTTGTGTTCTCTGATGTTCTCTTCATATGTGACATTGATCCCCCTTCAATGTGTCCCGTTCATTCTATACCAAAATATGGAAGGCCTTGTTTGGACATAATATCCTTTAACACGGACGAGTTTGCGAGTCTATTGGGTGTTTTCATGCCAAGCTACCTGCCAAGCTAGCTTTCGTCACTTACCCTTGGGCCTCAAGTTGTAACATATTGCAACTGCTGGCATTTCCCCAAAGATTCCAACTGACTTAGCCATTGATACAGCTCCCTCTTTGGGCGCTCTCAAGCATCTCCTCCTAAGGCGACAACTCAGAATTTGGAGAAAGCCGGGACAGCGAATTTGAGTTGGTCGGCTGCTTTCCACTAGGCTGGTGCTGGATGCCGAGAAGTCCAACCAACATCACAACATGGCAAAGAACTGGACATTTTTGCTTGCAAGCCAAGAATTCCATGAAATGTCATGAATTGTGATTGGGTTCAACGGTTTCAAGATGTTTCAATTTTCAATATTTTTCAAGTGATGTCACACGAGGTGACCCTCCAGCCCGCAAGGAGATGGGGACGTCACTGGTGAAACAGAAGAGGCAGCGGACTTCAAATGCCGAGACTGGACGGATGACAGCGCTGCATGTCGAAGCGGTTTGCCGATCCTTGACAGAAACCATGGGCTTGTGAGTGGAGGGGAAACTGAGCCGAAAGAGGCATACAAAAATCAGTTCAAAGCTGCAGCTAAGGGTTTGCGTTTTGCGCACTTTTGCGCTACACACTACACAGTTAGTTGCTCTTGACAGAATAGATCAAAATAGGCAAGCACCTGGCTCAATGAGGTTCTACCGTTTGCAAACGAACCACGACATGACGCCAGAGCTTTGCTTTGAATTTTGCATCGGTGCTGGATTGGATCTGTTTGGCCTGGTGGGCGAAGAATGTCGCTGTGGTGCCTCCCTGCTCAACAAAGACGTGTGGCAGATGGCGGCTCCACGAACGACGGGTCTATTGCTACCATTGGCCAAGCAGCTTCCCGACACAGAAATGCAATGCCCTGTTCGTGTCTACCGGTGGATTGGTCCTTTCGTTTCAGGGGGCTCTGTGCCCGAGCACTTGCAAATGTTGCACCACGGCTCAGATATGCTCAGATTCCGCGTTTGAAATTCTTTCACTATTTTTGGATGTGTTTGGCATAATTATTCAACATATTCAAGATGTTGATAGTTTTCTGTGGACGCGTGGGAGAATTTGAACAGTACCACCTTCTGCTATGGACTGGTTCATCTTGGGTATTGGTGGTGGCCTGAGACGACTATATAATGATTAATGTTTTTTGGTTTTTCATTTTGCATGCACGTGACGTGCTCGTGGTATGATCCAACGTGCGAAGTCATTGCACTTGTGAGGCATGTTGGCAACACCATCTACGTGGATTCCATTGTCACTGGAACCGACATTTCTGAAGAACAGGAGGGATAGTGCCTCTCAAATACGCCTAGCGGAAATTAGTTGAAACATGAGTTGACCCACGAAATATCATGACAAATGATTGTATCCAGATCTATGATTGAGACATTTGAAGTTCGATCCAGAAGACAAGATAAAATCCAGATGGTAAATTTGGCAAAAGTTCGTTCTGACTAGTTGCTACTGCATTCCGCCCATGTCTGCACGTAAGTGCCCCATCGCTCAAAATTCCAGGAGGAAGACGGACAGATCCCACCGGAGTTACTTCAGAAGTTCGATGCCGAGAGTCAACAGATCCGAAAGGAGCGCGCAGCTTCAGGAATCGAAGACCCTGTCTGGGACAGGCGTGCCTGTCCGATTGTGAATTGATTTGAGGTTGGTTTCACATGTTTCAAGAACACATGGGTCGTGTCACGGGTCCATAACTAGAATGTATGATTAAATAAGTAAAGATATTGTATAAATTTGTATAATGTATAGATATGCATTAATTATACACTACATGTACTATTTAGATATACAGGAACGTGTTTTCAACATTTTGCCATGGCTTGCGGCCTGCCTCACCAGGCCATGTGACGATGACGATGGTTGCCAAGCGGCAAGGCCGTGGATCGAACGCACCACTGTAGCTCCAGAGGGCATGCTCAGCCAATGGCAAGAGCAACCAGACACCAAGAACCATACCCTGGCTATTTTGTAGGAGAATGTTCTTGAGGTCCGAATCGTGTCTCATGTATTTCTGGTATGATTGTCCCCACTTGTCATTGATTATAGTAAAAATATGCATTTTTAGGAAGGTGCCTTGTGGAATCACAGTGCCATCCATCCGCTTGCAGCATTTGTAGCTTTCTTGACGAACGGCAATCTGGCACTGCAACGAAGAACCTTTCGATACGCTGCTCTACGTTGCATGTGCTACATGCTCGTTGCATACCTGCAGGGTGGCGCTGAAAGGGTTAGGCATATGGCATAGCACGGCTGTAGGAATTACTTGTACTTTGCATGGGCCTAGTCGAGCAATAATTGCATCATGTTGCATCCAGTATCTTTGAAATATATTGCGCGAGAGGTGCAGTACTTCGGACACGCTTCAAAATATGTGCTATAGTACCATGAGTGCAAACATCGTGCGGTGCAGTATATTAGGGAACTTTTAGGAGGTATATTTCACACAGTGTTTGCAGTACTTGGGAGCTTCAGATGATGTTTTCCGCACCAACTGCAAGCGAGGTATGTCATGGTACGCTACAAGTTCGATGCAGGTGTAGACGACACCCGCAAGGAAGCTTTCCGCGCTGCCGCAGCAGACTGGCGCACGCACACCTGCATCGCAGTGGTGGAGGATGATAACGCGGAAACTTGATCTGGTGAGGTTAATGAAGGGCTCATGGCTTTATTGTCTTCTAGATTTGGAGCTTGTAGTTTCAGTTCTACTTCGGATCATGTTGAAACCACAAAAGAGTGACCAAGCATGAGGCTGGGGTGCTAAGGCTGCTAAGGCCTATCCAAACTGCTCTTGAAATGAGTTTGATTAATCGAAGCCTGGGAGATCTGGGAGTCATTTTGCTCACAAGGCATATCCTTACATCCTGGTGGGCATCTATGACACTGGCAGCTGTTGGGCCTACTTGGGACGACCTTCGTCTTACCACAAGATCAACCTGGGATGGTGCAAAACCATGAGCCACAAAGGATCAATGGTCCATGAACTTGGCCATGGTGCCTGGGTTGAAGAACTGGAAGATGTGGTTTGACGGTGGTTGATGATTGAAAATTAGTTCGAGTCGCTTCGCGACGAGTAGTGCCCGCACCCAGGGAATAGGCCAGAGAGGAAAGAAGCGGCCTACTTGGCCCAACCAAAGACAACTGGGGTCAAACTTGGCCGTCCTTGGACTTGGGCCTAACTTGCGCCAAACTCGGGCCAGTTGGCACCAACTTCAACTTGAGCCCAACTGGGGCAACTTGGGCACGTTTGGACAGAAGTTGGGCTGAACATGCGCAACTTGGTCCTGTGTGGAGGCATCTGGGGCTCAACGTGAGCCCAAGTTGGAGCCAATTGGTACTGAAGTTGGGCTAAACTGAAGCTATGTGATGGCACCTTGGCCTTCTACAGCTCTAGCTCAAGATGTAGGAACATGTGATGTATATATGTATATATATTATAATTATAAATTATACAAGTATAATTACATATATATATATGCACATACATACGTACGTACGTACGTACATACGTACATACGTACATACGTACATACGTACATACGTACATACGTACATACCTACATACATACATACATACATACATACATACATGCATACATACGTAACATACGTACATACGTACATACATACACACACACACATACACATACACATACACATACACATACACATCCACATGTACATGTACATGTACATGCACATATACATATACATATACATATACAGATATAATCATATATATGTATCAGTATGTTTAGTTTGATGTGGTATTTGTTCCCGCAGGTTGGATCTTCACTGCAAGCATACGTACCAATATACACTTGTGTTTAGAGAGAGAGAGAGAGACAGAGACAGAGATATCTATATAAGTACTTTGTTTCCGGTAGATATCCTTGAATGTATTTGAGATGGTCAACCTGCCATCCGCATGATCTGAGGTTTGGGCATCAACCATGAGCAAAAGCGTGCTGATGGCTCCAAAGAATATCATGGCAAGGGACCACATCTGGAGATGTTTTGGGAGAATACTGGACAGTGGACAAGTCAGTACACCCCTGCCACCAAGACCTACATCGGTTCTGCAGATGATGGTGGAGACGATCCTCAAATTGGCTATGCTCCGTATGACTTTGATCCTCGTCCAAAAAAACATCCCCAGACCAGCGCAAGTGCGGCAATTTCAAACTATGGTATTTTTATGCTCTTTGCGTGGTTCGGAAAGAAGGTATTTCCATGGCTGTTTGACTTTGTAAACCCACTGAATTTTGGACCATGGGGCGCAGAGTCTCCCAAGTGCTCTTTTGTTGAAGGAGAGCATTATGCACTACTTTCGACAGCGAAACTCCGACCGCACTGTCAACGACGGTCGCTCAATCGCATTAGAGATGTTGGATGCTGGTTGGCTGGTGAAGTACAGATCCATCCAGATCCGTGCACTGTGTGGGCTGAACCCAGTGTGAACACTTCATCACCTTCATCCGGTGAAAACCCTTTCGAGGCTGGTACTTCAACACCATTCCGTCGTCCGGCCAGAGCCTCGTAGGCAACCGACACGCCTTGTCCGCAGGGGACGTCAAGCAAGCTTTGGATGCATATCGATGCAGAGCACCAGCCCCTACAACGACTACCACGACTACCACTACTACCACCACAACAACCACCACGACAACCACCACGACAACCACCACGACAACCACCACGACTACAACTACGACAACTACGACAACTACGACACCTACGACAACTACGACAACCACCACGACAACCACCACGACTACAACTACGACAACTACGACAACTACGACAACTACCACACCTACGACAACTACGACAACTACGACAACTACCACACCTACGACAACTACGACAACTACGACAACTACGACCACAACCACCACAACCACCACAACCACCGCAACCACCGCAACCACCACAACCACCACAACCACCACAACCACAACAACGACAACTACCACAACTACCACCACCACTACGACAACCACGACTACGACTACAACTACAACCACAACTACTACAACCACAACCACCACAACGGCAACTACCACCACCACAACAACAACTGCTACTAGCACAACGACAACTACCACACCCACAACCACCACAACAACAACTACCACCACTACCACAACCACGACTACAACTACAACCACAACTACTACAACCACAATGGCAACCACCACAACGACGACCACCACAACAATTGCGTCTTCGACCGCAACGCTGGAAATCCGCGAAGTCACGCTGAGCAGTTCAGCATGGGTCAGTATTGACTTCACGAAACCTTTCGCAGAAGTTCCAGTGGTAGTCGTGACCCCAACGGAGACAGGACGCTTCTGCGAGCGCACATACAGAATCTGTGTTGCATGCTCTTCTGGGCCTTCCACCATGCCTTTCTTTCCGACCTGTTTTGGTGTCTTAAATTGATGAATGTTCGTACATGTTGTACTGTGCATATCTGTACATGAGTATTTGGACACATATTTGTACCCAGGTCTACCGAAGATGGCCTGACGATTATCGTAACACTTGATGAAGACAGCTTTGTCCAATCAAAGGGAGCCTGGGGTGCGAACATGTAGCATAGAAGTGCAAAAAGCGTGCAAAATGAAAAGCACCTGTAATAGTCAATAGTCTCAATCTCTTTCCGATGGGATGGATTTGTCGTGTTTCAAGGATGAGAAAGGATTGTACAAGGGATGGAACGTAAGGAAAACGGTAGCTAACAAAAAGACCTTTTTCGTCACAGTCGAACCTGGATAATCTGGTTTTCAACACGAGCAGAAATCGATGGTCAGGGAGCGACAAGTCAAAAGAGCTTGCCGCAGGAACTACGGATCCAGCATCCATTCGGCTGAAAGACATCACTACCTCAGGGTTCTCAGCAATTGTTGCCAAACCACCCAACACAGCTGTGGGTGATGACACCATGACAGAGTCTTAGCTGAATATTTGGCTTCTGGAGCATGGAGTCGATAATGTGTCTGAGTTGGAATTTGGGGAGGAACGTTCAGCCCATGGTGATGATGTTGGCGGCGAAAACCAATGGTTTTAATGAAAATTGAGTGTGCCATAGGGTTCAATATTCAATGCTAGTCACATCCTCGCTGTGAGTCATGCTTGATCTGAAGATGTCCAAACACGCCCGGGCGTGGTTGGTGGCTCAAGATCTTTCAAACATTTTAGCATAGCTTCTGTATGTTCAATTTTACCAATGTACGCAAGGAAGACTAGCAGGGAGGCTCACAGGAAGAGCATGATTCTACTTGACCCATTTGGGTTTGTTTGCAAATAGTAAGCTCTACCTCCAGATTTGGTGGTGTATCATCATGTTCCTTGAATTCAAGTTGCCATTTTAGGGTATTTCCCATTTTCAGACACCACCATTTTGTTGGTGATATATGAATATATATGATATATCCCACTAATCCACTATATAATAAGGCCAAACACCTTGTTTCGCCAGATGCACTCTCAAAATACTGTAACTTGTGGGTGCTTGCATTCCTGAAAAGCTCAGGTACTGTATGGGACCCGTGTGACATCGCACATGTCATCCTGAACCCTATCACTTTTAAAGCCGTAAAACCCTAACATCTTAAACCCTACACTCTCAACTCCAAAAACATCAAAAAAGTATGATAAAATCAAGGAAAACCCCTAAACGCAAAACACCTAAACCCTAAAACCATCTAAAACCAAAATTCTTAAACCCTACTTAAACCATCTTAAACCTAAAATTTAAGAGTTATGATGGGCGAAACGAGGTGTTTGCGTGTATACGTACATATACAAAAATAAAAATAAAATCCCATGGTATCTCATTACGGTTGGTTTTATACCTTATTTTGATGGTTCACCCATCATTAATATCCCATGGACATGCTATTTGAACTCCATTTGAGCTGGTGCGTCATATCCATCAAACATGGTTTGACTCCCATGATGATGCTGAATATCCCATGAAGATACCATTTAAGGTAAACTCTACTTCCAGTCTGGTGTTTCAAAGCCAGGTGTCATGGTTAAAACATGTTTTTTAACATGTAAAACTGTAAAACCATGAAATGATATCATGTTATCAGCTCCTGGTTTTCATGGTTGATGGTCAGCATCTCGCATCGATAACAAGGTGACTTTCCTGGCAGCTGCTGTGGGGGTGCGCCAAGTTGGAGGAACCCACAACAAGAATGGGCCATGGTTTCCGCATCTACGTTACTTTACCCTAGGGTACTTCGACTCATTATGTATAGATAACTGATAGCCACAAGGGGGTAAATGAGTCATTTTACCTCGATATTCCCTGCATACCTGGGGTGTTGGGAGCAACCCTGATGATGATAGGGATTGTATGATTCAAATGCGGTCGGGCGCAAAGCAGAAAAACAAGAACCCCACAAAATGATGGTGGGAAAAACATGCAAAACTAACAAGGTTTGCGACTTGAGCTTACAACAGACTTAGACAGAATGTTTGTTCTGGAATCATGTGAATATATTGGTAAATATCAAAAACAAATGCCAAAAGATTAGGTGAATGGCAAAAGGCTGCGCCACCTTTCTGAAATAACGTTACTCGTACCAAGCTCTTGGCAGTCTGCGGGTTACAATTACATACTTCTACAGATATGCAAGTGTAGTTTATTCCATACTTATTTCCAGTTCATCAAAAACACATGAACCTTAGAGGGAACGGATTGGGAATCAGCGGTCTCTCCAGGACTTTGGGTGGAGGTTGGCACAAAGAGCACCCGCAGATTGATTTACAACCGCAAGAAGTGCAAGGCAAGAGGTGCCGAGCTTAACCAAGAGTTTCTGCAAGTTGGTGGACCAGCTTCATATCGTTCAGATTCATACATATAATTATAAACAATTATAAACATACCTATAACTATGTATATATGTGTATATATATATATATATAGTTACAGAATGTTATATAGAGATTTATATTATGTTGGACTGTCTCATTCTATCCTTTGGGGTCAAGGTTGCCATTTCGACATATATGGTGGCACAGTTTCTCCTCTCATGTTCGCAGCACTTAGGCATTCCCCGCAAAAAGTGGCAAAAGATTTCCTTTGCGCATGAGTTTGCATCACCGCCAGCCTTTCTCACCAGCATTCAGACGCTCAACAACGAAAATGGTCTGCCAGAAACCAGCTCAGAACCTTGGTTCACCGTCCCTTAGCCAAGATAGATGGAACTTGGAACCATGAACTTCACATTCAGCTTCTTTTTTGAGGCGTTCGGAGAATTATTTGACAACTTAGAACTGTTCGCACCGCTTCTCTATCAACAGCAAACCATGAAGAGCGACCACAAAAAAGACGCTAGGACACGTAGCGCTCCGCAAATCGGACAAAATAACAAAGTGCCGGTGTTTTGAATTCGGAGATCACAAAAGTCGGTGACAATTTCAAATTCCAAGGTTGGTGTGAACCGCGTGAAAGAGGCTGAAGCATGGGTGGGAAACTTAGTTGTCATAGGCGGCTATGGTGGAGACGCGCCGCGCTGCTCTCCGCTGAGGTCTCTTTGGAGATGGCGGAGACATCAGAGCATGGTGGCGCACAGGCGGCTGCCGGCGATCTGAGGAATGGACGAATGGAGATTTGATGATATGTGTATTTAAATTTGGTATGCAGGGTAAGAGACCATGGAATATTGAAATTACTCACCTGATGCCTTCTAGATGCATAATGACTTGGACAAAGTATGACAAAGTAGATTGATGAAACCGGTCGGTGATGTTTCTATAATGTTCTACGTGCTTCTATATGTTTGGAGTTCGAAGTCTAGATTTTGGCAGCAGCTTCTCACCAGGTGGACCAGGATGAAGTGGTGGGCTACATTGCTATCGAAGATGGTGTCGCGACCTTGCAATCAAGCACAGGCGGGCAAGGACATTTGGCGTTTTGTTGTCGATGATGTTGATAGATGTTGATAATTGATAGCTCTCATTGAACGAGGCATGCCCATGCCCATCATTACCCATGCGACGTGACTTGTGATGGCAGATGGCAGTTGGAGTGATAATACCACTCCAAACGACTATGTTGGACATCCGTAGCATCTGCTGAGACTCACAAAGTTGCCAAAAATCCGTTCATTGCCAATCACTTCCCAATCTTTAGACTTGGGACCTAGCTCTTCTTTATATGAAGCACGCATCCAGCTATAGCCATGGCAATCCTGTCGATCCCCAAAACAATCCGTTCTAAATTCCAGGCACGGTGACCATGGCAGCTGTGGTGTCGGGACGCACCGTTCGCGGTTGGAGCAATGGATCATATGATGTGCCATTGGGCACCGACCTATCAGTTGGTGCCCCATTGGCCGTGGCAAGCCAGTGCACACACACTGGCAGTGATGGTGGCTGGGCACGTGTTCGAGGCCCTGGGGATTGGTTTTTTTGGGATTTTTAAAACCTGGTTTTTCATTGGGACTACCCTCTGGTTATTTAACATAGCCACGGTATAGATGGCCCATAGAAATAGATGGTTTACCTAGCTATAAAATGGTGATTTTCCATGGCTATGTTAAATAACCAGATGGTACAACCAAGAATGGGATCCACCAAGCCAGATTTGAAAAGAGCCATCCCACAGTCACAAGCGGCTTCCTGCAGGAGTTTCATCATCTGCTGTCAAAGTGGCCATCGACGAGGATGTTAACTGCGATGCTGAGAGAAGCCACACGAGGGAAATTGTGAGCGTTTGTGCATTCTCTGGCCCTTTTGTTCTTTGAAATGTTTATTTGTCCTGCATGACAATTCGAAGCCTGGGCAGTCCTGGAGATCTGCAAAGTACAGGAACAAGGCGCTTTGCATCAGAAGATCTCAGAAGATCTCAGAAGGTTCTTTCTGGGTCTGCCAGGGCTAAAATTTGCTCAGAAGCATTAGGTCGAGTCAGCACCAGCGAACCCAAAGGTTGCTCCCCTGAGCCTGTTTGAAAGCTGTGCTGAGATACTGTGGCTTCTGATTCAATTCTAGTTGCAACCCAGAGAATTTCAAACCTGGTGATAATACAAGAAAGCAGCCACCTACACCCGTCACAACGCTGGGGAGGTGCTGCGGATGTCTAGATCCATCTGCCTAGGTTGTGGCCACTGCACAGTGGCCTGGCTCTACATGAGCAGCTTTGGCTAAATGTAGAGGTGTTTGAATCCCGGCATTGGATGATGATTAGTGTCCCTCGAGCGAGCTACACTATCCAAACCCTCTCAATCCATGAAGGGGTGGACCTACCTTGACCAGTCAGACCAATGCTCGTCTGACTGCAAAAGTCTAAAAGTCTTGTTGCGGTGTGATTGATTGGGATTGCAAGGATGCCGAGGGCGGGAGGTTAGGCCCAGTACATCCATTGCCTATGCAAATTCATGTTCCGTATGTACCAGTCGGCTCAGCGCATGGACCTTCTTAGTCTTAGAGTAGATCCAATTTTAGAACAGCCACGTTTGTGATCTATCCACCAAAGCCAGCGCAAGATTGGACCTACATCATAGATCATCTCAGTATTCAACGATTTTCTCATGTCCAATTCTTGGTTTTGATATGTTTTGCTTGCTTTCCGCTCCGCAAAAAGCGCCACGAGTGTGCCATGGATTCTTCGCCTGCACGAGGCTTATGCATTACCGAGGGCCAGGCCGGCAAATGTGACCCAAACGGACGATGATTTCTTCATTGATGGTGGGATATCTTGGGCGATATCATGGGGACACTATGGATATAATAAATTATAATATGGTAATCTCAAAAGCCTCCAGGGTTTCCGTCTATAGGAGCCTGACGAGGGGGTACATATACATATCCTAGTGGCCGCGCATGCAAAACATATGTAAAACTCATATATGAAACATACACATTTACGTTGGTGGAACGTATGTGATGCGTATGTGAGCGTATGTGCAGCGACACATTAACGTATTTTGGGACTGGATTGCGTTGTGTTTATGTTTTATTTATGTATCCGTTTGCGATTTTATGTTTTTTTTGTTATGAAAAAAAAAAAAAAAACTTATTTTGTGCAAATCACGCAAAATAATGCCTTATTTTGGAACACGCGTAACGAAAACACAAACAGAAATATAAACAAAACGCAAACGAGAACGCAAACACATTTGTAACGTTTGTGTTTGTACATGTCTGTGGTTTATGTGTTTTTATGTCGGGAGAAAAATAAGACCTTATTTTGGGCAAATAAGACCTTATTTTATCCCTTGCGTAAATAACAGAAACATAAGAAACAACAACAGCTAGTAGCCGCAATTTCTGGATATGTCGGGAATATGCGTTTTGTTTGCGTATTTGAAGCCGTTTATGTATGCGTATGCGCAGGCCAGTCCAAGACGGGCTCTATTGTGAAAGCCTTTGAAACCCTGCTAAGTGATATAATAATATGGATATAATATGGATACAATATGCATATAATATGGATATACAGTATTATACATAATATATATCTATAATATGGATATAATGGCATCATCATCAAGGTTTAGATTGGTTGACACCATGATTTCCCACCATCGTCCTGTAGTTTAGTTTGTTGAAGCGAAGCTTCAGTGTTCTATTGTATGTCAATGATATGGTAGATTGTTGTAGATACTGAATTTCTTCCGCCCCGTGCAGAACCGGTTAGGGAAAGCCACATTAGCTCAAGAGCGATCTCTCTCTCTCTCTCTGTATGTAGTACATATATATACATATATATATATACATATATATATATAATTATATATATAAATACTATGTCCCAAGTGAAACTCATGCGGGAACTGCTAGGGGAGACTAACTGAGCAAGCCTTGGCCTTGTCAGAAAAGGTTTGGTCACAAAGGTAAATTTGGGACGGTTGATTCAGCCTATTAGAAAGTGAACCCATTCGATTTTGTCCCACAATTTCTACTGGATTGGGAAACAATTTAGGAAACAACGGAATTTTGAAGACGACAGTGACATACAGTGACTACAGCAGCTAGATTCAGATCAACAAAGGGACCTCACAAGCCCTGCCGCAGTACTTGTAAGGGGATATGAGGGCCAAGTTCCACTGCAATTACCTTGGGGCACGATTTGCTGACCAGGACATCCGCATTTGTCATGGCTGTGCAGGGAACGCCCAGTGGCCAGTTACCTGACATTATCCGACTGTGAATGAAGTGATTTGTACGCAACAGTCCTTCATCGCAACCTTGATGTTTTCGGAGGGAAAACATCATCTACAACATCCATCAACATTCTGTAAAAATGGTTCTATCTTTGGGGGACCCCTATACCTTCATCATGGATGTTGTTTTGAGAAAAGCATGCTCTTCCCATGACCGTGCGTGGCTGCGCGCCCGAGGATTTTTTTGGACGATCTTGGCTGTTACCAGACTGGGCGTTGCTCTTCATGCGCTCCTGTGTCCCTAGGACTTGTGAGCCTGAACGTCAAGCATCATAAATTGCTATTTTTTGGACATCGATGGTCAAAAACATGGATATTTACAGGGGTACTGTAGTTTGTGGCATATGACTTGAGGTATCTTGAGGTTACCCTCTGGTAAACTAACATAACTATGGAAAATCACCATGTTTAATGGGAAAATCCACTATAAATGGCCATTTTCAATAGCTATGTTAGTTTACCAGAGGTTATTTCTGATGAAAAAATCACGGATTTTTCCGCCAGTGCGGCCACGAGGCGGCCACTTTTTTTGCAATCACCCTGGTGCTGGATGGGCTAACGACCAAAGATGGTGCCGCCCTCGGGATGCCAGGGGGGGTGATGGCCCGTTGTGGTTTACCCTCTGGTAAACTAACATAGCTATTGAAAATGGCCATTTATAGTGGCTTTTCCCATTGAAAATTGTGATTTTCCATAGCTATGTTAGTTTACCAGAGGGTAATCTATGGCACCATGGTGAGGATTATCCCATGGCCAGTCCTGGCAGCGCATATGTCATCATAGTTTTTACCTTTCCATGTGTTGGCACAAGGGGTCTATGCGGCTCATGTTCTGTTGTGACTGGTCCATTGGACAAGGCCAAGCCGTGACAGGTCTGAGATTTTTCATCTACTTGACCCGGTGGAGCTTTATTTTGGAGACCTTGTACTTTTGCATTGCGACATGGGTCACTTTCCAAGCACGAAGAACCTCCAAGAGGTCTTCAAGCGATCGGCAAGCCACTCAGGAGAGTCCGGTGTGGTGCAGTTCACGTTTGCCCTTAAAAGATCTTGAAAGGCCTATATCTTCATTAAGTTACCATGGTTATTACCAGTAATATCACCATTTTTTGGAGTTACCATGGTCATTAGCCATAGCCCTAGATAACCCAACTGACCTTAGCAAAACTGACAGGACAGCCGACTTCCAAGATCGGTGGCTTGGTCATGTTTGAAACAGCGTCAATGGTTTGCGGGTTCGAAAAATCCACACTTGTGAGTTTTCAAGGGGCTTTGTGAGATTTTTCACCCAGTAATCCATAGTAATCCAAGGTGCAAGCGATGTCGTTGCTGTGGACTCTCACCTTCCCCATCTCGGTGTTGGTTTGCTTGGCCTTTTGGACATTGATCAATCCCTTGTGGGATTTGAGAATGCCTCCGAGCTTCGCAACTGGGCAGTGAAACACGGCGGCTAAACACAGGGTACCTAAATGATCCTAAATGGACCAAAAAGAAGACTGGTCGTGTTTAGTAGGAAACCCTCCAATTTTTTCCATAATTTGAGCCATTTCCAGATATCACATGTTTTGAAGTGACAGTAACATAGTAACAGAGTCAAATGTAGTATGATCGTGTTGTGATTTGTCATGATTTGTCTCAGCGGCTCATGAGTTCGGGCCTGGAAGGCTCCCGCCCAGGTTTTGATTACTGAGCATTTCATCAACATGCTGATCTTCATCGCTGAATTTCTCGTCAACCGAAATGTGTTCTATCTCAAGCACGGCATCATTCTCTACATCTATGCCTTATTGTGCCCCTTTCGACACGTCGCATATCGTGCAGGGTCAATAGGAAGATGAAGACATCGCTAAAACGAGCGCGTGTCCGGTCGGACCGCTTAGAATCAACAACCAACGTCTATTCTCATTTCTTAACAACATCTATTAACAGGTTATTAACATCCATGAACCAGGAATGAAATGCTGTGCATGGAGGTATAGTATTTGGAGCCTAATCCATTTCATTGCGAAAGTTGGTGTCGCCCCAGCGATGGCATGTCCGCAGCTGAGAATCAGTGCCTGGCAGCTATCTTGTGCCAGATCTTGTGTCGGATCTCATCCCATTGACAGCAGATATCATCAGATATCCATGGCAGTTGAGCAGTTTTTAGCAGTTCAGCAGTGGGCTTTTGAAACGGAGGCTGTTTTTTCTCCCCTGGACCCACTGGAGGTCAGGATTACCCCTTGGATGAGTGTCCAATCTATCCTGTGCTTGATTGGCATCATCCCGTGAGGAGATAGTGATGGAAATGATGGAAACACTGTAAGCTATGTGTTGCTGCTCAAAAATGCTCAAAGAAATCTTGGGAAATCTTGGAAAATCTGTAAAGACTGCCAGGACAATTATAGTGGTGTTAGGGGTGGCAAGCTCAGTATCGCTTTCTGTGTCGTGACTATGACAATCCATGACAATCCTATACTAGGAAGGTAGTTGTAGGTAGTTGTTCTCCCCACGCCAGGTGACTTTGGCAACTCTGATGCTGCAGCTCCTCATTTGGAAATGCACTCACAAACGTGACCAACGATTTCTCGGATCCGGATCAGGGGGTCTCATGGATCCAGAGATTTGACAACAGATTTCAAGCCAAAAAGTCCCAGATGCAGCGTGAGTTGCCGTCCATGAAATCCATGAAACGGAACCCGGGAAGTAAAGATCTTCAATGACTGGTGACTGGAAATTGCACCTTTGGTCGTCCTGTTCAAGAGATTGGAGCATCAGTCTGCGAATTCCTATGCAGACAGGCTGCGAGCTGCAGCTGGGTGGATGTGAAGTGCGAGGCTGAGCAAATCACCTGAGAGTTCTGCCAATCGACTTTCTATGCGTAGGCCAAAGCCAATGTGGAACTGAAGTAGAGCACAGAAATATAATATAGAAACATTGCTTTGCCTTGAAAATGATCAGTCCAGCTGTTTCAGCCGCAAGAATGACCCATTATGAAACCTTCAGGTGTCATGCTTGGCACTGTCAAGCAGAATCTAAGGCTGCCAATGATATAAGAAGCAACCCAACCACAGAATAGCAACCTTTGCAAGCGCACAATTACAACTTGGACCTCATGGAAGGGTAGACAGGTTGGTAGCCATGAGTCATGCTCGTCTCATGCCGCCGCCAGTCAAGGCCCATTTCTGTTTGCGGTTCGGATTTTTGCAGTGACGCAGCATGCCGCCTTGCCATCCTTTGGCCAAGCGTTCTATCCAGATTGTTTCCGATTGCCAATCATCACGTCCTTGTAATCCCTCTTTTCAAGAAACCGGAGATGACCAGCCAGAGTCCAGACATGTCCAGACTTCACACATGCTGTTTCCAGTTCGAAAATCTCGATCACGTCGGGATGAATCTGCATTGTAATATATAATCTATGTATATATATATACATGTATAGATACGCATACATATAATATATTTCTCTACAACTATATCATGTTGGTTCATTTTTGATATCGGTTTCTCCGAGAGGCCGCAGGGCTTTTGAAACGCTTGCAGGCCTTTCTGGCACCTTACAACCATCTCCGCTACAGATACCCAGAGACCTGGAGAAGGCACCAAACTCTGAGGGCTGAGGGCTCAATCAGAGGGTGATGCCTGGAAGTTTGGGGGAACCCATTCTTGGGTCATCTTGGGTCAATCTGGTGATTCTTGGAATGTCAATGATTATGTTCGAGCCAGCACAGCTTCCATTGATGTTGTACTTCCAGTTGGTGAAAAGATGTGCAGAGTGTGTTCAGTTCTATCGCTGAATACTGGCTCAATGCGGTTTCATCCCCTAACCTAGTACTCGTTTTTTTGTACATGAGATGCGGAGAAGCGGATGATCAACAGACAACTGATCCATAAAAACCACGCAACTGACCCATGGCCAGGTTAGTTCAAATGCAGGAGACGAGGGATCCCTGTCCAGAGGGCCTCGAGATGAAATCGTGCCTTGACAGCGTGACTGCGGGTTTATTCCCATCGAGCTACACCAGCTATGACTTTGTGTACCATCCGGGTACCGTTTGGCTTTGACCCATAACCAACATGTATAAAATGTGGAGAGTCCTCCAGCACCAAAACTTGTCTGCCACGTGGCTTGACAGATGTGGGATAAAATCTTCGGTCAAGCAAAACGAGATGTCAGAATTCGCAGCGCCAAAGACGACCAAGGAGTCTGGACAGCGGCATGAAAAAGTCCGCATCACTGCCAAGTGTCTCGAAGAAGCCAAGCAAACACAGGCGGGATGCGAACTCCTACAGTTCCACCGTCCGTGAATTTTTCTCCAGGTCTGATAGTGAGGGTCATCGAAGGAGAAGACATGGAGTGGGGATCCCCTGTCGATGGCCTCTGCCATTGTCGGGTTCGATTCTCCTGGACCAAGAAGCCCAACTGGGGACCAACTTGCTGAACTTGGATCTCTCTGCATTGAGTTTGTGCACATGCGAATACATACAGTACTGGTACCTATTGTGCTCTGTGCTTGGCATAGGTGCTGTCTATCTCTGGCCATTTTGTATGTATCCAGGAAATTTGGAGCAAGCTATATTTGCATAGGCCCGAAAAGGCTAGTTGTGACATGGTTTCTTTGGAACCCAGGAGAAGGAGGGAGGCCACAAGTCAAGGAGGCTTCAGCAGGGTTGAACATAAAAATGGTGTTTTTTTTGGCCTTGAGCGGGTGCAGGATTTCATCAATGTCACATTAATCATGTTTTCAGTTTAGAAACATGAACATGAAATTGTTACTGAACTTATATATGAACATCATGAACGCAATTAGTGAATTCTTTTTCCCAAGTTTCACATATTTCATGTGGCGCATTCTTGGTAGAATTTTGATGAATTTTGCACACCTCGGAGGAAGAAGGAGCTCACTGAGGAGGAGAAGGTTTCCATGCTTAGGACCGGCTGATTGAATGTCGGTCTCTTGGTTGATTGGTTCAGTGGGAAAAAGCCATGGAAAAATCATGACAATTCTACTGTTGACTGTGTGGATGTGACTGTGGATGTTCAAGGTTTTAATCCACTGAGATTATGTATTAGTCGATGGTTCAGTTGGAAAGTCCCAGCTGAGTTGTCTCAATGCATGATCGTTACCATGGACTATGTGGAGTTCCTGCAGATTGTTTTCTGTCACCCATTCTTGGGACAGTCGGAAAATGCTGAAACCCGAATGATGGATATTGTGATTGTGATTAATGATGAGTCCGATTAATTATGATTAATTACCTGGAAATACATCAACACCATTCTTTAACACCATTCTTTGAGGATCATCTGTAAGATGAACCATTTGGTTGTCTTTGGCCTTGGAAGGAGGATGAATGCCTTCGCCAAACGGAATCCAAATGGTGGTGTCGCTGAAGGCGTGAGCCATTACAGGGAAGAAACTCACCCAACCATCAGAGTTATCGGAGCGATTGTTCGTCACTGTGGTATACGGAAAAGAAGAATCACTGTGTGTATCTTTCTGTGGTAAATACCCTCTGGTAAACTAACATAACTATGGAAAATCACCATTTTCAACGGGTAAATCCACTATAAATTGCCATGTTCAATAGCTATGTTAAATTATCAGAGGGTAATTGATCGCATCATATCGCAACTCTCGAAATGATATCTCTCAGAGGCACAATGATCAGATTGATCAGCAGATGCAGACGCGCAGGTGATGGCAGCTATCATCACATTGTGACATGCATTTGGGCAGCAATGGCATGCAATGGCAATGTCACTCACACTGTAATTTTTCAGTGTCGGCTCTGGCTTTGACATCACCTCAAAAATCCGAAAAACATCTGAAGGTTGTCAGTTGTCGATTATATTTTGGTGTCTGAAAATAGCGAAAATTGATGAAAATAGGGTATCCTTCCCAGTTTGGCCATATTTCAAGAGGGACTATGATGATGAACCGATTCACCGATGGATTTAGAGGTACCCCATCTTCAAACAAACCCATTATCACTTCATTTGGCTTTGCATCTACATCCCCTGAAGAAGACCTCGAGGTTACGAGCGACAGCAAAGGACTTTCTGATATGCATTGCTGGACAAAGTCCTGTAGGCTGAACATTGCTGGAGAGGCGCTGATTGCCGATGATGCTTGGAAAAAAGACTTCACTAACAGTGACTTTGAGCACCCCAAGTACGTTTATTGGGAGGGATCTGGCTGACATAATGGCGGAATTTCAGGACAATCATAAGCAATCTCAAATCTCAAGTAGCAAATGGTGCCTATTGGTGCCTCAGTGAAAGCACATGGAAAATCATACATTATGAAACACCTCAAATGAGGGTTTCAATCTAAGCTGCCAAAGCTGCAGCTCCTCCGGGACTGGCTGACCCTGCGGAGATCTCACCGTCATGGTCGTCATGGTGACCCCAATTTTTCATCGGTCGTTACTCATGCGAATTTCCAACATGTTTGAACCTACTTGTACCCACCTAAGTTGCTGTCATAAGAACATGAGCGACTGCAATAATTTGTTCATGTTCATTCATGTTTGGTAGATGTGAGAACTGCAGAGTCATACTGGCTTTGTGTGCGGCGTCAAAGAGCTGACCTTGCCCGTGCAGAGGTTGCTGTCCATGATCGAGCAGTGACCTGTCGTGGTTTTCATGTCACATGCGCAAGTTGCTAGGAATGCAGGAGTATAGTCTATAGATGTCGTCTATAGTAATTAGATGTAATTAGATGTAATTGGGAATTAGATGATATTAGATGTATAATTTGCCAGGCTACTTTGGGTACTCGAAACCGCCCATTGACTTGTATTTGGTGATTTGATTCAAAGCCAGTTTCAAAAAGTTTCAGAGACCAATTGAAGCTCACCAGAATGTGACAATGGGAAACACCCATGTAACCATCATGTAACCATCATGTAACCCCAGAGTTTCTGGCTTACTCTTCGAACGTGGCTGACGCTTCCCCAGGTGGGTCAACCTCGCGGAACATGGCTTGCAAAAGCCTCGCGTCCGACGCTGCGTTTTTTTTGATAGAGAACCGAGGTACTGACAGAGTTTCAACATGTTTCAACATGGTGTCATGTCATCATCATGTATGTGTTTTTTTGGAAATCAGAGATGTCGATGCACAATTCGGAGGAGAATACACTCAATGGTGTTGTATACATTCAAGAAGCAATCAAGAATGTGTGCTCCAAGTCTCCAAGTCCATCAGACATCTTGGGTTCAAGGAGAGCTCAGCCATGCTGAATCCAAAAAAAAACTGATGGTTCCATTTCAAAATGTTCAAATCACCGCAGCTCCAAGCTTTTCAAATCACCACAACTGGGTCATTTGAGGCTAAAAAGAACTGATTGCCACAGCTGGCACAGCTCAATTGGATGATGCTTGGGTGACGCGTGCCAGATAACACGTCCAAGGATGGCAGAGGCGCAGGAGACTAAAAACTGCCGAAGGGTTCACTGGGGTCCACCGGAGCCAGAAGATCAGATGTATCCAGATATATTTATATAACAATATATAAATTATATAATGATAATAATGATATAATATATATATATACATATATACATATACATATATGTGTGTCCAGAAGTTTCTAGACATTGCATCTGGATATAGGATGCATCTGGGGTGCTTTAGGAGTCGGACTATGTGCAGATGCCAAGTGAAGAGGAGATCGAGGCCTTCCGGCAGCGGATCCACTGCTGCGTCCCGTTTTTGCTGCTGAGCATTGCTCCGTTCGTGGCCATCTACGGCTTCTGCGTCCCAGAGGCGCCAGCGGCGAATGAAAATTTCGGAGAGCTTGATGGAAGTGTTGAAATCTGCCAGACAGGTCAAGAAGTGCGAATTTTGTGTTTGCAACTTTGAGAATCAGTAAATAAGATATGTTGTACACATGTGTTAATACATATTATATATATATACATATACATATACATATATATATATATACATACATACATTGCATACATGCATACATACCTACATTGCATTGCATTGCATTGCATTGCATTGCATTGCATTGCATTGTTACATTACATACATGTTGTATTTTGCAGGTTTCCATGACACGACTCCGTCCCCAAAGAAGCTCGGTGCCGTCCGTATCGCGGCAAGGCTTTACTGGCGCCCTGGTGGGTGTTTGTCGCTGGCGCTGCTGGCTGGTGGCTGGCATTCATCCTGAGAGTTCCGGTGATCCTTGCGGGCAAGGCACGCTGTCCACGGTGTCCAAAGGGGAAAATCTACTGAGAGAGTTGTCCTGAGATAAAAATAGATAGAAACAGGAAGACCCCATGATATCTAAAATGAGAGATGATGGACGGGTTTCGTTTTTTCGATGGCTTTCCATGTAACTTTTGTATTTTTTCCTTTTGGTGGATAAGGAGGCCTGGCTGATTTGGGATCACTGTGTTCCCTGCAGGGCATGGTGAACCAGTCTCAACGACAGAACATCACAGTTCTTATCTCGGGCCCAGCAGAGGACCGGACCCAGTGCGCTGAAACACTGGACGCGTGATACCGTGATAATACGATGGTGCTGAAGCACAGAAATTGTGGTCTTTTAGTATCAGTACTATTCCAATTTCACATAGCCATGGTTCCCATGGCCCATTTGTGCCATGGATTTGGCTATGGCTTGACCATCCACCTTAGACAAATCCAGGAGAGCGTCCGCATCGCCATGTTGTTCTTCTTTGACTGGAACCGTCTTTTTGCGTACACCTTCGCATTAGGCTGGACCAATGAGACTTGATGCCAGAATCCAGGACCAATACCTTGACAGATTGTAGGTTTGCTGCTTGATGATTCCGAACGATCGTGATGTTTTCGGTGGAATCTAGTCCTGCCATGTCCTTCCATGTCCTTCCCATGGCAGACCCAGATTTCCCCAAGCTGCAAGGTTTGGGCTGGACTGGTCTTGAGCTGGTCTTCACTGTAGTGCAATGCCTCGCCAGCATTCAATTGCTACAGGGTGTGAATCGAGGAGACGCTCAAGCCATTGAGGCAGAGATTTCGTGCATAAATCTACTTGATAAAGATTTAGTGATGTTGGTTTGGTATGGTTTGGTAAGAATATGTCATGAAAGTCATGAGTAATAAACTCATGTTCGTAAACTTCATAAACAGTCATAAACATGAGTAAAATAAACAGAATAAACTACTATTTCAATCCATTTCATGAATGTTGCCATATGTTGCCCTAATCTTAGTTTCATATCACTGCCTTGCTTTCTTCGAAATCTCCTCAGCAGTGGTGAGCCTCCGCGGCGTGTCAGGCATTCAAAGCTTTGGGAGCGCAAACAGGGCGGCCTGACCCCTTGGCCGTTGACCCCTTCTGGGGCGTTTTAGAGCGGTGCAGCGCCCATGCGATCCACATCTCAATGTCTCTTGGCATGACTTGGCCGGAGTTGGATGATATGAACAGTGTGGAGTTGGATGGGGATATCATGTTGATTGGGCTTTTATGATGTTTTTTGGAGATATATGATATAATTACATATATATATAATTGATCATAATTGATACAATGATGATTTCATGAGGATATAATCATGGGACTTACCAAATGGAGCCTTTTTTTTGTTAAGATGCCCACGCCAGATTCTGCCCTTTCCATTGCAAAGGTCCCTTTATGGTGCGCTTTCTCCTTGGTCTTTGCTGGTGACTGCGCCACTGCACTCCTTCCTGAATTGGTTTACCGTGACAATGGTGCCAAAGATTGGCATTCTCATTGTCGTATCTTGTCTCAACTTCAAGTGCACTGCAATCTGATTGATGGCCATGACATGCAGTAAACAATCATAATTCTATTGCGCTAAAATTGCTATGACTGTCACAATAACATGTTACAATAAGTTTAACGACCGCTGTCATTACTTTGGAACTGAGGAGTTACTGCTCTTTTGCGCTGCTGTTGCGTTGATGGCTGCGGCCCTGGCAATCTGGGGGCATTGACAACACAGCAGGGTTGGCCCAGTTTCATGGTGCTGAGCCTGGCGTGTTGAATGGGCACATTTGAAGCTGCCAATGTTTGCAGGTTCTAGTTGTTGAAGTTTGAAAGTTCTATATCAGATGCACGGGCAAGGCGCTCCCTTGACGTTGCTGTTAGTCAGCGCAGTGTGAGCAAGAGTCACAATGATTCAAAAGGTTAGTCCGAAAAGCCTGGGCGTTTGGGACAGAGAGCACAGCAAACCAGCACAACATGGTTGGAAGTTTTGATTTTGACTTTGAGTTGACTTGTGGGTACAGAGGCAGTGTGGGCGCTCAAACGCACTACCAATAGCCATCCATCCCTGCTTGACAGAATGATGGCCAATTGATTCATAAGTTTGGACGGGGTGAAACCAACCATAAATTAAATGCATTTGTAAGAGCTAGGCTCAAAGAGGGAAAGTACCTGAAAGAGTTTTAAGGAAAAGTCCTGTAAGACAAGTAGATCCATACACACAATCATCAACGTGCACAATATGAAGAAACAACGATGGAAAGGGTGTATTGTACAAGGATGTAAGAGGGTGTATGAGGAGAGAAGGATCTGAGATGTTTATGTCGTCACGATGCATTGCTGAACGCACTCAGAAAACCTGCCAGGGAAGAGTTTGGTATGTCGTAAAGAATTCTCGAAATTGAAAAACCCACATTCACCTATCCATGGTCCATGGTTGTTTTTGCCCCATGGTTAGAATATGATCCATGCTATTGGACTATATTGGACTACTACCCAACAGAATCCGGATGAATCCGGGCAGAAGCGGAATGAGAGCCATGAAGCACTGACATGTCCAGCGGGAAGAAGCAGGCCTGCTCTGTTCGGGAGCGAGTTCATGCACACGATTCAGAAGCAAAGTCTCCCATGTTGTCAGGGAAAGAAAGGATCAGAATGGATCAGAATGGTACTGTAGCTGCTGAATGTACTTTGTGTCCACCACTTGGTGTTTGTTTGCACGGTTTTGTGCGGTGATAGAATCAGCGGTTGGTTCTCCTGTGTATGCAGTGGCTTCAAATAACAGTTGCAACTGACAGCGATGGCCGTTGGGCTCAGAGGTGAACTCCTCTGGATCAAGGGAAATGTCGTGCCGTTTTAATCCTTTTCGTAATATTGATCGTTGTACATGAGGTATCATAAGTTACTTAAGATATCTTAAGATCATGAGAAGTGGATTGGAACAGGTGGCCACCTGCATCCAGCAAATTCGGCGTCAGCGTTGCGAAAAGCGCCATGGTCTATCATGAAAGAACCTTGTCATCTCCCCTTTCTGCCTTCCCTCAGAATGTGCCTTTGCGAACGCAAGAACTTATGGGATGTGTCATCATGGATCCTCAATCTATCCAACTTGGCAAAGTCTTGATGGAATGTAGTGGATCTAGTCATTTTTCTGGGGCTCCGTAGAGGTAGTTACTATAGTTGAAAGATATGGGATCAGATTTCATCCATTGGATGAATAACATCTATAGGCTTCCTATGTGGATATATGATATATGTGGATATATGTTCGGATTCGTTTAATATATAACATATTATATATCTATCAATATGTTAACACATATTTCCATCGATATATATATATACTGTGTATCGGCAGCTGAAAATACACCAGGTGATGCAGCCACAAGCCTTCACACAGGTTATGCATGAGCACCTTGGAGTGAAGGGATATGGAATCCCTTGGTTGTGATGACATAGTGGCTTGAAGCAATAAAAATAATAAAAATAAGGGGAAATAGTTAGGATATTATGGGATCAAATGGTATATGATATTATAGATATTTTAATATTATATATATATTTTAATATTATATATATATACATATATATATATACGTATATATATATATAATGATTGGTGCAGCTTGTTTTGGGGGAAGCAAGACGTGACCTGAATGCATGGTTGCTGGTTGGCGTTCTCCCAAGGGACCCTTTGTGGTAACAACGACATCAGGACTCTGTGGGTCGAGTATGTCGAGTGGCACCGGGGCAACAATTTTATGCAACATGAAAACAAAGAAACCACAGATATTGATTTAAAAAAATGTAATTAATTATGGTGATTAAAAATGCTATAATTCTCAGATTATCTTACTCTGTTCGCAAAAAATGTGGTGATGAGAAAGAATGTAAGCTCAAGAAAACCACAGATCTTGATTTTTTAAAAAATATAAACATTACCAAAATTGCATAGTAACCATCCCGGAATCGCGTACCACATTTTGATCCATATCATGAATATGTCCTGATCGCCGATCAGTGTCGTTGACCTCATCGAGCTGGGCATAGCTTTTGTCAGGTATGGCTACATGGGAAGGGATGTAGATGAGAAGATGTGCACTGGAAAGAAGAAGTTCTACTTGTCTCCCTTCCGGCAAGAAGCTTGGCAGGGCCAGAAGGGGCTGGGCCATGCTGGGCCCCTGGGCGGGCTTAAAATCGTGGCTTGACCGGTTGACCGCAAAAAGGGGGGCGTTTGGATGGAGTTTTGGGAGCATTAATCAAGGTTTTTTAATGGGAGTACATGAGGATTTTTTAGGAAAAGAAAAAAGACAAAAAGACACAATCCAAGATGAGAAGCACTCGTATTTCCTTCAAGCATATAATATGGATTTGATATCCAAGGTGCTTGCGGTGTAATAGCTGGTTATACATGGTTATACATATTTTATGATTAAATCATCAATGTTATATGTGCTTGTCATTTTTTTGCACCACTCCCCACTTGTTTGGGTGGTTTTGGTGTTCCAGAACAGTCGAAGTGTCTGCGGAATCAGGAGGAGACCAGCAAATGGGTCATTGACCGGGTGCCTTTGCCGGAGCCGAATGGCACCGCACGAGTGGGCCGTGCAAAGAATGCCAAGGACGCGAAGGGTCCCAGACACGGATACTGAAGGGGCAAGAAAATTATGAAAATGTAGGATGAGCTCACATTCTACCTATACCCCTGAAGCCCGAAAGCAGAAGACGTGCAGTAATGGTAGATAATGGATGATAATGATAATGATACTGTACACCCAAAAAAAAGTACCATGCAGAATCATGCAGTCATGTCTAGTTCATGCTGCTCACAGACTTGGACAGATGCCATGTTGCCATGGTGCAAGGAGATTGTGGCTCGTGCACGCCGATTGATTATCAATGCCAAGGAAGGAGATTGTTGCCATCCTTGGTGAAGAGTCCATGAATTGCGTCCTGAGATTGTTCTGTTTGGTGCCATTAAGTCCATCTGTATAGTGAATCATAGTGCATCTCCGCACGAGGCACAAAGCAATATGTCTTGGGATCAGATCTTCATCAACCACTCCGACGAACTCAGCTTCCAGGACGATTGTGGATCTTTGTTGATCCATGTCCGAAGGATGTTTGTGTGTTGCTACGGCCAGAATTTGTCCGTGGGAGAGAGGTCAACAGTAGACCTCTCAAAGGCCTCATTCCATATCCTTTCATGCTCTACGGTCTACTTCAGTAGGTGCAGTGAATTTGTGACTTCATCGCAGGAGCTCAAGAAGTGCTTGCGGCGCGATTTGGCGATCTCCCCTAAGGCCTTGACAGACTTTGACACCAAGGTGCACGTGATGCAATATGAGAAGAACTTCAGAAGAGCTGCAGACTTTGTATAGAAATACTCTTGATGAATTGTGCAGTGTGAATATGTACTATGAAAACCAAAATTTGGGAAAATGCACTTGGAAACTTACTCCCGTAATTCATTGGAACTTCTTTTCAAATGATTGAGTCCACGTGAGAGTCTGGATGGAACTTAAGAGATCCAGAGGAGGGAATGATTTTACGTAGATGTAAGACCAAAACCGCAGATTCTGCATGGTGTGTCACAAACGTTACCACAAACACTGAGCTCGACTCAGGTTCTTTTTTCTGAGCTTGATGCCGACAAGAGCGGAACGGTGCCTGACCTGGTCAAATCAAGACGAAAGCATTCGCAATTTTTCTTCAAGATGTTTGACGAATCTGCGACCCTCATCAAACTATATCAAACTCAAGGTTTGCCCACCATGTGTTTAGATGTTTTTTATTTGCTGTTCGCCGCTGGAGCCATTTTTGGCGCGGGAATGATGATTGGAATTCCATGGAATTCCCAGATTCCTATGAGGTGAACATCAAAGAGATGTTGTCCTATGTCGCTCATGGGCCTAAACGCCTCTCCGCTGCACTAGCGGGACGTTGGAAGGCAACGGATGTGATGCAGCCCCCTTTTCTCCAACGATGTGTTGAAGGAACACGTCGTCTGCGCAATGCTGTTGCACGCTCTGGATTTGGGGAAGACGCCAAATCCGGAAAAATACAAATGTTATTACAGTATATAAATTTTACCTATAATATATTAATTAATTAGGAGTCCAATGCCAATGGTTGGGATCTTCGTTTGCTTGAGGAATTCACGATGAGGAGGCCATGTTGCTGAAACGTACCGCGCGGGTGCGTAGGAATCTGACTCTTCTCCGCATTTTTTGGCTGATGTATTGGGCGATTAACTAATCTTAATGTTCCATGAATGATATGGGTAGCATATTGATGGAATAGAACGTTTACCAACAGTATGACATCAGTATGATATGTGACTGTGTCAATGGGGAATACCTCCATTTATGACAATGTTTAACAGGGAAAACAGTGGATCAATCAGTGGATCTCGGGGTACCCACTATTTCGGGGACCGCCCACAGGAATGCATGGTGCACACACTGTGTTTTGCTATGTTAGTGGATTGCATTTCTTCTCTGTACATGCTGTGCGTGTTTGTTTTCTTCTCCTCCGCTTTCTTACTACATCTTAAACTACTGTATTTTGTTTATGTGTTCTTTGTATTTCTTTGTTGTATTTCTTCGGTTCTTGGGTTTTTAATCACACTTAACTTACTTAACTCCTGAAGGTCGATGTCACATCCCCAAGAAGGGACGCTTCATTCGGTGGCTGTGAGGAACATGGCATGTCGGAAGTACGCCATAGCCTCAGACCCGAAATCCACCAGAAGTGGAGAAGCCATGGAGAACCCATGGTTTCCGCTTTGATGTTGGTAACCAATGTAGGGACATCATGGTACATCATCATTTCTTTGTCACAAGTCTTTCACAAAAAAAAAATGGAGTCCAATCTGTTCCTGCTTTGTACGAATGGTACGTCTTTCACTGAGGCAGGTGTCAAAGCCTTCACAGCAGAAAGTACGGCCAACATCTTCAAACAGACACTTGGCCGTTGGTTTGCAGTCTGGCGAACAGTGTTCGGATGATCCTGGAAGTTGGTGAAATTCTTGGAGGTGCCGGTTTAGTGTGGAACATCTAATAGATTTTTGACATCAAATAGATTCTAATAGGTGATAGATTCTAACATCTTATGTTGGTGATGTTGGAGGTATTATATCATCCAATAGATTCTAATATCATCTAGTTAACTTAGCTGTCATGAAGTTCCTGCTTTGAGGAGTCCCAAAAGGTTGGTTTCTTGATACCCTAGGGATCCTACACACGGATGTGGAGAACCCATGGTTTCCGGAATGGTAAATCCCGATGGTTCACCAGGTTTTATGGTTAACGCACCATGTTTCACCATATGTCATGCTTGGGTAAAGTTGGGTATGTTAAATCCCAATGTTAGAAAACCATGTTTGATGGTTAAATCCCTAGTTGATCACCATGTTTGATGGTTAAATCCCTATTTGATCACCATGTTTGATGGTTAAATCCCTATTTGATCACCATGTTTGATGGTTAAATCCCTATTTGATCATCATGTTTGATGGTTAAATCCCTATTTGATCACCATGTTTGATGGTTAAATCCCTATTTGATCACCATGTTTGATGGTTAAATCCCTATTTGATCACCATGTTTGATGGTTTAATCCCTATTTGATCACCATGTTTGATGGTTAAATCCCTGATCACCATGTTTGATGGTTTAATCTCCCTATTTTACTGGTTGACTCATTTCCGAAAGTCCTCCATCTCGGCGGAGGTTGGACCTTGAAGGTGACGGTCATTTATCCAAGTCGCCAAACTGAAAATGTGGGACCCAATAGATGGCCGTTGTTCAGTTGTGGAAACTGAAGATGAAACCCTATGTTTTTTTTGGAAAAAACTATTTTCAGAAAAACCTCCAGATGTTGGGTAGATGAAAAATCCGATCGGTTCCGTAGAGCCTGAGAAACTAAACTTCAAATCATGTTTCTGACCATTTCTTCCAAGCAAACTGATTCAAAAGAAATTGCAGCCTCGTGAGGCCTGAGATTTTTGCGAGTGAGCAGCGTTCAAAACCCCTGTGGCCCCCTGTTGGTTGATGATTGATTCGGGGGTTATACGGTTATACTACCCAATACATCGGGGATTATCATCATTATATCATCATCCAACTGGGAATCCAATGACAGCCATAGCCATCCCAGGAACTGACTTAAAATGATTAGTAAATGATTAGTAAAATCATTGGTGATGGCTTACTTAGAAAACCCAATGATTAGTTCCTAAGTGGATTTCCTAAAATGATTAGTAAATGATTAGTCACCTAAATGGATCCCTTAGCCTTAGAAAATGAGTCACCTAAGTTTTAAGTGATCCATTGGTCCCATTGGTCCCATTCCAGTTGGATCCAGGTTCTCCCATCCGAGGTACGAATTCGTGGAATTCGTCCGGGGAGGCCTGGGTCTCTCCATGTGGGATGTGCCCGAGTCGGAGCTTCTCCAGTCACTTGACATATCTTAAAGATAAAAATTGGGCAATCACTGTTGGGGTTCTATGATATTATATGATTATATAAATGATATAAATTATAATAAATTATATATATGAATATATATATATATTATATATCCACTGTGCCACTGATTGAGACTGTGTATTCTACAAGTCCAAATCCTGCTCCAGCCGCCCCAGGTTCTATGTCATTATGGACAAGGACAATGATGGCTTAGATCCCATTGAACTGCTGGAGTTCATCCAGGGCAACCAGGAGGTGCGACCAGGTGTACACATTGGCAACTTTGCGGGAGAGGTGGTGCTGAACCAATCAATTTTTGAGGTTTACCTTGATAAAATGATATAAAATATGGATATGTTGAAAATCCATAATGTCCAATGGCCAAAATATTTCAGATCACATCCAAGAGCTATGCCACATCCCGTGCAAGACCCTGCAAGTGCGATGAATGATGTGTGTGTGTGTGTCAGTAGCCTGTATGACTACAAAATGTGTATGTATATATATATATATACTTATATATATATACTTATATATATATACTTATATATATATATATACTTATATATATATACTTATATATATATATATACATAGGTAGTAACAGTATATTATATAGTTATAGGCTATAGGCGGTATGCTCATTGTGTATAGATATCATTGAAAGTTTGCCTATCACCTCATGGTTCCTTCAATTTGGGCTAAGAATGAATTCTGACTCCACCTGCCTGCATACAGGAAATGGCCAATCGAACACTCTTCTCTTTCACTGAAATCGTGGATGCAGAGAAGCCACGCAACTTGGAATTCATGCATCAAACACTCAACTGGTTGTTTTTCTGCGATGATGACACCAGTATGTCATGCCATGCAATTAATTAATGTGCCGCAACTCGTGAAAATTTGATTGTACAAGCATTTCAAGCACTTTTGTTGGTCATTGTTTTCTCCTTTGGTGAGCAAAAACGGTATACCCAGGGCATCAGGAGATGCGAAGGCTCGAAAAGCCCAGCCCAATGTTCATGAACAGCGGACGTCGTCTTCCTCCACGGATGAGATTGCCCAGCAACTTGGTCAAGGGCTTTCAGACAGGCATCAGTGAGCCATTTTTTTCGCTTTGGAAAGCATTCTTCCTGACCTGCTGACATTCTTGGGCAATGAAGTTCAGGGTTTGCGTGGGGCTCTGAAAGAAAACTTAAAACCAGTTGCTAACTTGTGCGATTCTAGCATGGTTCCTTGCCGGTGCCGAATGAACATCCAAGATAAGACGTAGCGATGATCTGACGCGCTGGTGCAGCAAGACGAGATTTGAGGGGTCACTCAGCCAGGCTGTGAGCCAAGAGCAGGATATGCAGGTGGAATTGTCAGCCAAATGGACTAATAAGGAACTAAAAAAGATCCTTAAAAGTAGATTTGATGATAAACCGAGTGGAGTTGTGCTCATAATCCCGTGGCTCGCAGCCGTCAATTCCGATTGTACAAAGCTGCTTTACCCGACATAGGCAGGGTGTGGTTTGCGCATCCAATGCCGCCTTAGAGACCACCCGGGAACCGCCGGAGGTCAGTTTCGGTGCTGCCATGGCTGCGCCAAAGGCGCCGCAACGCCATGGCTTGGTGTCGTGAGGAAGAACTTATCACGACTTGGATTAAAAGATGATGAAGATGTATCGAATGGGAAGCTGCTGCCCGACTCTGGATCGGACGATAAAGACCTTGCTGGCCTCATCAATACACTGTTTGAAGAGCTTTGCCCGTTTTTGAGTTAGATTGAAAGGATATTGTTTGACTCACACTTCATCCCAGGGCCCACAAAACATGATGCCATTGATCATGGGTTGCTATACCCCGGCTCACTAAGATGATAGTTGATTGTATTGTTTGGTTGTAGTGTTGCCGGGGGTGGTGTAGCAACACTTGAATCAGAGGCGAGTGTGCGCTTCCACCGAAACTCCCAAGTGGCTGTCTGGGCTGCAACAGGCTTTGCAGCACACCATCGTGATCGACGTCTGACACCGTGTGATTTGAATTTGGATAGTACCAAATTGCTTGAGTCTAGAGTCTGGGTGAGTCTGGATGCTATAGTGTGGCTGCGGGAATCATTGGAATCATTGGAAGTCATTCCAGTGTTCCTGGCATTTCTGACTATACAAGATTGTCGAGCTGACGGCATAAGCTTTGGAGGTTCTAAAAGTACACTGAGCAAGCAAGTTCTGTAGTCAAAGATTGCACACAACAGCTCAGATTGAAATGTCAAAGGGGATCGACATTTGAAGGTTCACTGCCCTTGAGCAAGTGTGTAGCATGTTCAGTCTTGTTCAATCTACAGTTGTTACTTTGGTCGGGAGAGCTGGGCAAAAGATGCGCACAAAAATTGCTCTACCGTGGCTCAGGTTGGAAGTGGAAAATGCAAAGCTGGCATTGCGGGTGAGGACCGAATCGACAAACACCGACATATCCACTCCGACAAGAGAAATTCCAAATAAGACAAGTATCAGAATCACTTGAAAAAGCAGATGCTCAGATGCCCTTGTGCTGAATCATCTAGAGTCATTATTTTTTGAGTGGAAAGTTGCACGCAAAGGCTGTCTGCTGTGGCAAACACCACCTCCTTTCCCTCCTAAACTCCAAAGTGCCTATGTGTCGGGTCAGGAACATCCCACCTGCATCTTCCCGTCAATCATCGGGCGACCGAAGACGGACTATACCTTAGCTTAGCTGTTTCGTCACTCCCGTGCTGGCACTCAGCACTCGCGTGCCAGCACTCGCGTGCTCAGCACTCACTCCAATGCACTTTTCCCGGTGTGCATCCTATAATAGTAGATATGTTTATCTTGATTTAGATAGTGGATGCTTTTATTGGAATAGGAAAAATGCATTGGAGTGACGATAAGCATGAGATATCATTAGATCCTCATCACATTCATGAGAGCCGCACGAGTACCTCCAAGTGGCGTTGATTTTTTCAACACCCTGAAAGAAATTACCCTTTTGGAGGAAACGGGGAAACCCAGATGCTTTTTTGGGAAACGCAAAATGCATCCGGACGTCAGGCAGATATTCGCACGTTACCGGGTGCTTTTGTCACAGAAAAGTAAATGCACCGAGGTATGGATAGGATAATAGAACCCCATGCGTTTCGAACTTGCGATTTACTAGCCCTTTAAGGTCTAAGATTTGTATGGATGCTTTTTTCGGATCTAGTTAAATGCATTTACATATATCACAATGCTAAAAACCCACTGCGTGACGAACCTGCGTGCTAGCACTCAGCGTTGCGCGTGCTGCGTGCTGGAGCTGCTAAGTACCTTAGATCCCGAATGATGAGATTTGACGAATGTCTTCCGGTTGATTTGCTTCTGGACGGCCTCAAAATGTTTTGGAAGCAGACTGAGAATCGAGCGAGTCTAAGGAAAATGTCATGCAAGGCTCCGGTGATCGAGATTACTATGTTGGATGCTGGGCAGAGACTTACAGATGATCCACCCTTGACTAAGACTACTCTTTTTGGCCATATATTTTCAGCCGTACACCATAGTTGCTTCGCGATATATAGTTTCGTTCTTTCAGAGGTAGAGGTGCAAAGAATGACATCCGTAGAGCGGCCTGAAAGGGAGTGTAGCTTTGCAACGCTTTACAAAGATGTGTTTGTTTATGTTTGTTTCATGTTTTTGGATGTTGTTGGATGTTTTTGTTCGGTTTTTTTCAGTTCTTCCCGCACATAAAGTCCATAATCCATTCCCATCACAGGGACCCCACAGGGACCCCACAGGGAGCCTTGGGACGACCTGAGGAGACGAGGCTCAAGCGAAGCGCGGCATCCTAAAGATCACGTACCCAGTAGATCATGGCATTGTGCAGGACGTGCCCACGGTGATCCCGGGCGGTACTGTAATAGGGACACCTGCAGCTGGCACAATTCATTTACCAGTTGATGATGTTCAAGGTAATGATGCGTATATATATATATATATACATAATATATAAATAACTATAAATAACTACTATTAGATATGATTGCATGACATATATGATATGTAGACTTTCTTGTGTTGGGGATCTTGTGGGTTTAGGTCTCTCCAAGTTGTTGTTTCCAATCCCATCCTATCTTGAAATCTATCGCCGCTGTGCTCTCTCCATCGTCAGGACTGGGACGATATGGAACTGATCTGGAAGCACACCTTCTTCAACCAACTGAGAGTCCAACCTACAGAAGCTCAGCGTGGCAAAGCTGATGCAGTTGCTGACATATGGTGTAGCATTTGGTAGCTTTGTGCGTCTGTGTACATCATATCCATACATTTCAATACACTTGATGGTCATTATGAGTCATAATGTATCATTAGCTGCACTTGATGTATGATGATGAAAAAAAAAACGTGTGAATGTACTTGTTGTTGCCTTGTTGCCATGGAGATGTTGGTCAGCACTGTCACGCATCTAGACTACTCTTCAAAGGAACGAGCAGTTCTTCTTGCCGAAGCCGCTCTGAATCCGAAGGACCTGGGGATGGGGCGGAATGACAAGCTCCAAAATACCTGGCTTCGGCCATAGCCATTCCAAGCCTTTTTCACTACTTCAAGTGCTTCAGCAAGCATTTCTATCCATTTCTCAAATCCAGTGCTAAAGCGCTGGTGCTCCTCCAGTTCCCCCTTTGACGTTTGTGTCAGGCAAATCGGGAACGGATGACCCAAATCATGTTCGAGGTCTTCTATGTGCCGGCAATGTGCGACGGGAATTTGGCCATCCCCAGCCACTATTGCCATGCAATGGTTGTTTTCTTTGTCTTGCCAAGTGTTCATGAAAAAGAACGCAGGCTGCGGTGGGCATTCCCTCAATTTTCCAGAAGACCGACTCAGACCGACCCACTCTTTTCCAAAATCTGCATGCGATCACTTTCTCAGCATTTAGACGTTCTGCTCAGCGTCAGGTACGTCACCACCCAAGCAGTACTGGCGCTGTATGCTTCGGGTCGAACCACCGGGATTGTGTGCGATAGTGGTGATGGCGTGACACATGTGGTGCCCGTCTACGAGGCGACACCATAGCAATCACGGCTGGTATTTTGAGACCATTTGGGACCCAGATGGACCCAGCAAATCCCAGCAATCTGAATCTGACACCAGAGGTAGGCAACATTCACAGAGGAAGAAGTGTGTAGTCATTGCATTCTAGCTGTTGTTTCCTCCCTATTCCAATTTTCATTGCAGCAAGGCCTGGGGCTATGTTTCTCTTGCAGCTCTAGATGCGGTCCGTGTGTTTTGAATGTCTTGATGCAGGGCTACCTGGTTCCACACGCCGTGGGACGTGTGAACTTTGCGGGAAGAGACTTGACCGAGTGCCACGCTGCTATCTGGTGTGGGTTCCGAATTGCCGGCCCCAAGTGTCTAATCGAAGCGGTTCAACATTGTCCAGATCTCACTCAGTTTCCCTTTGGGGTTGCCATGAAATGCTCCAGAAACAAGTCTTTTGGGGTCCTAGGCGCAAAGGATAGCGCATGTATGGACATGTTGATGTATGTTGATGTGACTTGCTTGGGCCGGTGAAAGGCAGATGAATAAATCCGGTCGGTGCTTCCAGCATCCCCGAAAGGACCAAGCAGGTCATGTATCTTGAATCTTGAGATCACATTCTCGAATTCCAGCTGTGCTTACATTTGCTCCCCCGAACTGTAGTCAGGGATTCTATATTATGGAAAATAAAAAATGTTCCAAACCACCAACCAGATAAGAATGCATGGGGGTGAAATATGGGGCTGAAAATGATCATGGCGATAGCTGATTCCAGCTGCTGAATAAAATAAACGACTTAGAAAGTGGAAGATATTCAAGTAAGCCAACTGGTTCCTTCAGTCTTAGCAGGTTTGATCAGATCATGACAATCCTGATGTGCAGTGTGGTATCTCTCAATCATGAGCTTCGTAATTCAAAGTACCGATGAGTTACGCTTGCCACCGGGATGCTTGAACTGTGACGACAATTCCATGAGGTACTTGATGAAACTCATAGCCGAAACAGGCCACAGCCCTCATACCCGTACTGGACAGATGAGAGGATTGATGCAGAATTTTTGTTCGACCAGTGTTGAAAGATCTTGACGGTGACAGGTGTTTGGAGCCACTTGCCTTCCGAAAAATTACTGCATTCCTTACAGTGGCTGCCAATTACATCCAATTCGGTGACGGTGTGGCCTTGGATCGCCAGGCACATCACTTTCAACCAGTGCTGAGCGAGCTGCTCGTCCTGTTTCAGTCGACAAGCCAAAAAATGACCTCCACAAGCTTCAGACGGTCCCACAGTTCCATGCTTAATCTCCCGATCATATATGACATTATATGACTGCACATTGCCTTGAGACATCTTGAGATATTGGAAGTGACTTTTGGCATCTTTGGTCAGCCAGGAAATTGCTCGAGACATCAAAGAAAAGGCTTGGTCGCCCTGGGAAGGGTGACGGCATGTAACGGCTGGATGTAGAATCTTCTCCATGTGTTGGATTTTTCCTGGATTTGTTGCATCCATGCTCCTCTTATCTCCTCTTCCAATGCCCATTTTTTAGTGGCTATAGTATAGGTCTCCTTGCAGCCCCCCCCTTTTGAGGAGATTGACATTGGAAGACAAGCCCGTGCCATTTTTTGAGAGTCACCGGAGATAGCTGGGTATGGGTCAAAATTAGGTACCCAAAAATTAGAGATGGTTAATACTAAACTAGGCTAACATCTGTGGTCCCCGCAGGTCTTCCATGTTGATCCACATCCAGCTGTAATTAGCGGTATGTAATGCAACCAGCCATAACCAGCCTTTGTTTTGTGAAGCGACCTGGACTGGGACTGGCAAGATTCCTCCAGGATAGCCATCTGGTGCAGATTTTCTTCTATCTTCATGGGGTCTAGATTCATAAGTTCATATAAATTCATATTAGATTCATACAGTAAGCCTTAAGCTGTTTACTATTGTTTACTGCTGTTTTTTGTTTATGAATGGTAGGGGTCAGCTCTTTCTGCTCAGTGCTGCTACGTGGCGCAGAGCTACGAAGCCGAGATGGAGAAGGTGCCATTTGGATCGCCAAGACTGACAGGTGACTCGAAGAAGTTTCTACAGTCTACAGATGGGTATGGATCAATACCTATAGATACATTTTTAGTGGGATGAACATCCATTTGCCAGCTATTTTGGGGTTCACTAGGTACCAGGGTTTTGACCCATCCCCAGATGTCTACAGCTTGTTTTTGGACAAGTGATGATAAGCGCTACTCCAACTGGATTTTGGCAGGCAGAGTCATCAACAGCATGCACCCTGACGCATGTCCCTTGGATGCAGATGTGGATGTGGGCTGTGCTCCGTTTACCACTAGGTACTGGTACAGTACTGTTGTTTCTCGTGAGTTTTTGCCTGAGTGATGTGTTGCGCACGAACACTTGGCATCGAATTCTGATTTAGTACACACACACATACACAACTGGCCAAACAAGATGGAAACCAGAAGGATCCAAGACTTAACCCTGAAGGGTGCCCCAGTCAAGATATACGGCCAAGGGTGTTCTTAGTGGCCCCTGATAATCCGTATGAGAAGAGAGGGCAGTCAGGGAACGCAAGCTCCACACAGCATGAGGAGCTCCCAGATGGTCAGCTGTTGCACTTGAGCTACGAGCGCTTCAAATGTCCAGAGGCTGGCGCGGGTTGAGAGAAGGAAGCAGCCGAAGCTATCCGAAGCTGGGGTTCTGCTTTTCTGCAAGGCTCTTTTCCAGCCCACTTTCATTGGGCAGCCGGAGACAGAGGTAGGAATTGCTGGAAGCTCCACCTTTTGTTGAGGTGATGATTGATGAACAACACATATGTTCGATGGGGGAAGTGCCAAGTATCCTTCCTTACCCTTTGAATATGATGAAAGGGTACGAAGGGATAAATAGAAAACGTGAGAATAGCATCAACGACTGCGGTGATGATCAGAGACATTGCGAATGTAGTGATGGATTGATTCATTGCACTATATTGTTTTGGTTGGCTGTTTACTGTGGTCTTGTCGCAAGGCTGCTTGTGTACTATGGAGATTCAGTGTTCATTGTCTCCTGTCAACTGATATTGTACTCGCATGGAAAGTATAGATAGACATCAATGACCACAAATGTTTCTGGATATGTCTTGCCAGTTCTATCACTAGGTTGATCAACGTCTATGTTGTGTTTGTTGACCATTGCCAAATCCTATATGCCAATACGTATATTTATTGTGCTTCGATGATATTATTAGCATCATTGCCACCACCATTATCATCCTCCTCATCCTCATCCTCATTGTCATCGTCGTCAGCAGCATCATCATTGTCATCATCCTCACTATCACTTTGTGTGGAGCTTGGATATCATGCTCTGCAAGGCAGCACTGGAGAGTAGAGAGAGTGGATCTCCCGATTCGGAAGAGCAATTTGCATCTAAGAAGACGGCCTGCTGTTGACTGTGAAGCTCTATATACAATTATATACATATATATGATTATATATGTATATATTAGAACTATAAAGCACCCGAAAGTCAGACTGTCACATAGTTTCAGTGTTGGTGACTGTAAATGGTCTCAGCGCTTCAGGGTATCCATACCCAAGTGCACAAGACCATCATGAGGCGCGATAGTCAACCGCTGCACAAGCCAGATGAGAGATCACGCGGTCACCCATCCCACTCTTATCCCATGGAGCAGTTCAATTCGTTCGTATAGACGAGTTCTCTATAAAGCTTGTGATGTTGAAGGTTTCAGGAAGGAGGTTGTACTATTCAAGGATCTGTCCCAACAATTTCCATCATGTTCCATCCATAGTTGTCAGACAAAGCCAGCAAGCACTGTAAAGACCAAAAGTATTGGACACGCAAATCTCAAGTTCGTTGGCGCAGTAACTCTCAGTCCCGCTTCCTGACAGGTGCGACATCGATATTCGCCGGGATTTGTTTTTGAACATTGTGGTGTGTGGAGACCCAAGGATTTCATGCTAACTCTTTCTGGGTTCAACAGGGTCTGAGGCATTTTTGTTTGGGCCTGAATCATTCTAATGTGGAGCTGAGATTGGATTGACACCATGACCGGTCTATGTGCATGGGAGTATTTCTACTCATCATTCAAAACAATTACTGTTTACTGCACGCGGTATAAGTTCGCTAGGTATCCTGCAACGACCAAGAACGATTGCTGACTCTGAACCCAAGGTCGGGTGGAACCACGTGCTTCAGAGGTGCAAATTTCTGATAGCGCATTCAATCCTAGCTTGAAGGGAAAATCTGCAGGAAAACCCTATATTTGGCTACCAAAAAAAAACATACCAAAACCATGGTTTCCTGTAGGTTTTCCCATCAAAAACCATGGTTTTTCCCTTAAATGAACATATTGATTGCAAGGTTTCCCTGGTTGAGCTCTGCAGGCTTCGGCCATCGGCTGCAGAGCGAACTGGCTGAGCTGACACCAAGCAGCATTCGAATACGCTGGGCACTCGGGTGGAGATGGGAATGTGTCGAACCCAAGTCATGGAGGTACCATGAGGTACCCCAAATCATCCAAGTCATGGATGACCATATTAGACCATTTATGACCATTTCAATATAGGTTAAGCCATGGAGACTTGGGGACCCAGTTTAGGAAACCTATGGAAAGCTCAACAACGCCATCCAGCACCAGCTATGACAGCTATGATACCATCCAGGTAGCAGGGTTGAAAGGCCCCATAACTCACCTTTCAAATGGTAGCGTTGGCAAGGCGTTCTTGCACCTGAAGATCGGCAACACTCAGTGTTTATTGGAGGCTGGCTCAATCAGTGCAACGACATGACAGTAAGCCATCCAGTGGCAGGCTCTATGCTGGCAGATCTGGACATGTTCTCAGAAGCTTTGCTTGCAAATGGAGGGTTGATGTCCTGCAGGGACGCTGAATCCAAGATCCATGGACTTCCTGGCAACCGGAGAGCCCCCAATAGCAGTTCAAAATGTACTCCGTCGTGTGGATACTTGTGTTGTGATTGCCTTGCCTGATTCCTCCAAGTGGTTTCAGTACATCAACCTCCAGCCTGGAATCTACAATTGTTGCAGCTGCATGCTATTGCCTACTTGTTACATCTGAGGAGATGTGCATTTCCAGGGCAGAATACCTGGAAGATGGGCCCGGGCTCTCAGACCCGCAGGCAATTCCCTTGTGCAGCTGAATCTTTGATTCAATTCGTTTGGTTCTTGCAAATATCTAGGCCGACAATCATTCATAAAAAATGTATTTGACAAGATAAAAAAGTATGAAATATGAAAAATAAAAATAATGAAATATATTATATTATATTATATTATATTCGATTATATAATATAATATAATATAATATAATCGAATATAATATAATATAATATAATGTATTAAATATAATTACCATTATATAATATTGTTTTATATTTATATGTTGGAGAAAAAAAAATATTAATGATTTAAAGGTATTTAAAAATAAATATAATTATATTATTGTTATTTATTTTAAATGTTTATATATTTTGAAAAAATGTGTATATAAATGGTGATCGATCTAAAGGTCTTTGTAAGGAGTTTTAATTGCGAAAGCCGTGCATGTGATGTTGGAAACCCTCGTGAAAGTTTTTTTTCGAATTTGCGAAAATAAGATTTTATTTCGCGAAAATTTCGCGAAAGTTGGGTATTATGATCATTATATGTAAAGGGTTGCTACCTATTGCCACTCGGGGTTCGGTAGGAGAAGGGTACCAGAGGATACGAGTAGCAGTAGCTAAGTTTCCAAAAGTGAGGCTTTGCGAGAGCTAAATACCAAGGCCCCTGGTTTTTGCTTTTCCTTTAGTGTACCCTCTGCTGATGGCCGGGGTCTGTGAATAGGGATATTTTTGCGAAAATTATGCGAAAGAGCGGGCGAAA